TCTCAGCTCCCTAGGAAGGCCGATGGTGGGGTTCTCAGCTCCCTAGGAAGGCCGATGGTGGGGTTCTCAGCTCCCTAGGAAGTCCGATGGTGGGGTTCTCAGCTCCCTAGGAAGAGCTGATGGTGGGGTTCTCAGCTCCCTAGGAAGGCCGATGGTGGGGTTCTCAGCTTCCTAGGAAGGCCGATGGTGGGGTCTCAGCTCCCTAGGAAGGCCGATGGTGAGGTTCTCAGATCCCTAGGAAGGCCGATGGTGGGGTTCTCAGCTCCCTAGGAAGGCCAATGGTTGGGTTCTCAGCTCTTTCTTTTATAGGTTCTTCTAAGTGGGACACAGGGAGATGTGGGGGTTCATTCTTGAATACACACTGTCAACGACTGGCTGGAATCTCTAAGCCTGACAGACCTTAAAACTTATTCTTCAAAAGACAAGATCTCCTGAGTCAATTGGAAGTGTGGGGACCATGGGAGAGGGTATAAGAGGAGGGGAGAGGAAGCGAGGGGAGTGGAGAAATATATATAGCTCAATAAAAACAATTTTAAAAAAAGAAAAATTATGAAATGCAAAGCCCCTCCAATAAACATCCAGAAGTTCAATCTAAAAAAAAAAAAAACAAAACAACTTATTCTTCTTCTGGTAATCTTTTCTATGATATTTGGAGAGACCCTCCCCCCTGTCTTGGGGCTCACTTGTTTGAAATCTCACAATGCCTCTGTTCAGGGGACCACTCACAATCACTTCTTCAGTTCCATTACCAGTTTCTTCTCCGTGAAGCACTGGGCCCGTCACCCATCCCTCACCCATGAGTCCACTTTGGGTCCAGCAAATACACCACTTGCTGCCCCAGCAAGTTCTGAGGATGAATTCTTACCCCAGAGGACCGCACCTGGCACTCAGAGGCAGCCCACCTGGCACCTGCTGGGTTTTCCCAGGCTCCTCTATTCCACACAAAAGAGTCTTCAGGTCAGAGAGTGCTGCTCACCTTCCCACAGGAAGGAGAGAACCCAGAACTCACTGTACAGCTTCTCCAAATCAGCCATTTGACAAAATATTTCCCCCATGCACTAACGACCTCTAATGTGGGGACCTTTCTTGTATCATTTTCTTGGCAGACCCCATATTTGGTCTGGTGCATCAGCAGCAATAATCACGGATTCTTGGAATCTTAGATGTAATGTCTTGTTTGTGTCGGCAAAGACTATAAAATAGAAGGTGGCCTATGTACTCTGTGAGGGGAGCGGGAATTCAGAAGGCCAGCTCACTCATCCATTCCTGTACCTGTTCTGCAAACTCCAAATTCAAGGCTCACTGCTCCGGGGTCCTTGAGCTCATAGGGATTTCCCAGGTGTGACTTTACACCTGGGAACCAGTTCCTGACCACACACTCCATATATGAACAACAACACACTTCAGGAAAAGCCTTTTCTGAAGGAGCGAGGTGTGGGCTGGCCTTTGGAGACAGTTCAGACTCTGAGTACTTCACTATGGAGGTGGGAAGGGACTTGGAGTCTCTCTGGGTTCTTTGGATGGGAGGGGTAGGCCGTGCACAAAGTTGGATGGAAGCGCTTCTGAGGAGCAGGTCGTTGCTGGATTGTACAGAGCCTTGGCTGTGCAAACTGGAGTTCTTGGCTCCCACTGGGCCAAGCTTTCTGGGACAGTAGCAAGGAATCTTAGGGAGAGCTTTGGTGGAGTCATGACCCTTGAGAACACGGAGAGACAGAGGCATTGCTGGGGTCCAGAACACGGAGAGATAGAGGCATTGCTGGGGTCCAGAACACGGAGAGATAGAGGTGTTGCTGGGGTCCAGAAAGTGTGCCACCTCTTCTCCACCTATTCTATCTCCTGTCCTCAAGGCCTCCCCTCTACACACCGTTAGCTCAGAGAACGACAGGAAATGTCTTCAAGTTTCTAGGAAGGACACGGTCTCTGTCTGAATCCTTGGCCTGGGCCAGGGAACTTGGCCTGAGATCTCCAAGCAAAGAGCTGACCTTTCTCTCTACAGGAAACTTCAATTGCCTCCCCAGTTATCCTCCGTGTGGATCCCAAGGGCTATTACTTATACTGGACATATCAGAGTAAGGTAAGATTCTACCCAACATGGCCCTCAGCTCTAACTGAACCAGCGAACTCTGCTAGACCCCTGGTGGCATGGGGGGAGGGCATGGATGTAGGGGAGTAGAGAGTGGCCTGGGAGAGAAGCTTCTGGGGCTCTCATGGGCAGGGGAGGGAAGCTGCAGCCATCTGGCTCCGTGGCTGCCTGGGACCTTAGTCCTGAGTTAGTATACTAGCCCTGGAGGGAGTGGGGAAAGACTGGTTGCTGAGCTGAAAGACAATGATGTATGTGTGAGTGGCTCTGGGTCATATCAGAGTCCAGCACTCAGAGGACAGGCTCAGCGGCCAGACAGAAGAACAGAAGAAGGCCTGGGGAATTCCAGGGTGGAAAGATGGTACAGGTTGCAGCTCTTATTCCAGAGAAGGACGGGGTCAAGGAGTAGAAGATCCCCATAAAGGGAGAGAAACAGAGAGCAGGAAGGGAGGGGAGGGACCAGATAGTCTGGAGGTGCCTTGGCGTATAGAGAAGGCAGCAGCTAGGACCCGAAGGTGTGTAAAAGCTCTCGCCACTCCGGTCTTCATTCTCAACTTGATTTTTGGGTCCCCACCCTGTTTTGCTGGGAACTGCTGCCAGGAGATGGAGTTTCTGGATATCACGAGCATCCGGGACACTCGCTTTGGCAAGTTTGCCAAGACACCCAAGGTAAGTGGGCCCAGAAGCTGCTACCAGTCGTACAGGGCAAAGAATATGTCTCTCCTGGGGGTGGGGCGCCCATCTGTGGGACCAGGGGACTGGGTCCTGGGCTGCTGGGCAGCAAGGATTCTAGCCCAGGCCAAGGAAGAACGGTGTGGTGGCTGCTGCTCAGCTTGCCTGGGGACTGCGCATGAGAAGCAGGCACAGTGGAGATGGCAGGGATGGAGGAGGAGCCAATCCCTGTCCCTAACTATGCCCCGCTGTCTGGGAAGTGTTTCTTCTACTCCTTGCTCCCCACTGCTTGGTAACTGCTTTGCCTACATTTTCCTAAAGCTGGTAAGAAGATTGAAGCGATTAACAGTAGGAAGCAGGATTTCCTGAGTTAGGGAGCTGAGAATCTTTCCTCAAACAAAATTCCCAGAATTCCCAGGTCCCACTGTCTTAGCCAATCTCCTCCTCTGGGCCTCCCCTTCCCATGGCAGTTGCTGGAGCCAGGGGCAGGGGGATACTGAGGCCTATGGTTCCCAGTTCCTAGGTTCCAGGGCCATTCTGTCCCAGTGGCCTGCAGTTCAAGTGGCAGATGAGGAGATAAAGGAAAAGACCTGTTGAGCAAGACTAAGAGCCCACCTCTGACCCTTGCTGTGTCCTTGCTTTCCTCAGAGCCAGAAACTCAGGGAGGTCTTCAACATGGACTTCCCAGATAACCACTTCCTGCTGAAAGCCCTCACGGTGGTGTCGGGCCCTGACATGGTGGACCTCACCTTCCACAACTTTGTCTCTTACAAGGAGAACGTGGGCAAGGTGCACTGGCAACACATGGGTAGAGTGTTGGCACTCGGGACAGCCTGGCCCTCCTGCGAGAGTCACCGGCCTGGGCCGAGGGACTCAGGGGCACCTGTGCTCAGGAGTGTGACTTCTGGGCTGTGTGTTCTGCAGGATTGGGCCGAGGATATACTGACTCTCACCAAACACCCGATGACAGCCAATGCTCCCCGCAGCACTTTCCTGGACAAAATGTAAGTACCTGCCTGAGCTCAAGGGGTTGGCTTGCCTGCCCCCAGCCTGAGGGACTGCTGTCTCTCCCTCCAGCCTGGTGAAGCTTAAAATGCAGCTCAATCCGGAAGGAAAGATTCCCGTGAAGAAGTGAGTCTCTTGCGTTTCCCGCTGGCTGCCGCCCAGCTCCCCAGGCCTTCCCTTCCTAGGCAAGACTTCTCTGCTGCCTGGGACTTTTCTTTGCCTCCTCAGTTTTTTCCAGATGTTTCCTGCTGACCGCAAACGCGTAGAAGCTGCCCTCAGTGCTTGTCACCTTGCAAAGGGCAAGGTGAGTAGTTCTCCACCCCCAGTCAATCTCCTAATTCTCGCTCCCACCAGAAAACAACAACAACAATAACAACATGGGCAGGGATAGTGATGGATAGGGAGAGCACCACTATCCCATCAATAGCTCCCATGGCATCACTATCCCGTCCGTCAATAGCTCCCAAAGCCAATTAACCCAGAACCTCTGGCTGCTGACACTAGGCGTAAAGGTGGGAGCAGGGCAGGCGGGTGCAGTGCTGGGTTCAGAGCCGGAAGGCGGGCCTCCAGGAGTGCTAGAGGCAGGGCTGGGGACAGCAGCAGACACTGCAAGTCTTCTAGCCTTGGAATGGGAGTCGGATGGGGTCAAGAGGGACAGGAGACAGACCTTGGGATCTGACAGTTCCAGGAAGGGACCAGCTCTGCAGGATGCTGGGGGAGAGGAGCAGGGCCAAGGGAGGAAGCTGCCAGGGCACAGACTTCAGCTCAATTCAGAAACACATTTCCCACTTCTTTTTAATTAAGCAATTAATTTTTAATTACAAGTCAGAAGCAGGGTCACCCCATGAGATGTCTTATGTGATTTACCAAAAACAGAGCTCTCTGGGTAGACGCGGCCCATGGCCAAGGTTCAAACCTGGCTCTGGGAGTGGTGTTAGTCCTCAAGCCCTTGTCCACCTTGGCCAGCGCCCTTGTGTAATTACAACCCTCACCCTGTGAAACATTTCTCCCTGCAAGAATTGAGGGCAGTAGAAATGAGTGAAACTGAGACTCTAAGCATCTATCCTTATGAGCCACACGAGGAATATTCCCTTAGAGGCCCAGCTTCTACAGCACTGGTGACCCCACACGCGGCCAGTCACCCTGGAGGCAAGGCTGAGGCAGAGGAGAAGGTGGGCTGGACTCCTGAGGTGGTTCTTACAGTTTTTACCGCTTGCCTGAATCTAGTAACACCCACCCATCTTTTTTCCTGAGCCCCCAATCCTAGCTGGGTCCTTCTTGGTCTGCTTCCTGTGTGTCCTTATAGAGGCCACTGACAGCTTCGGAGGCGGAGCTGGGCTGCGGGAGACCCTCACCTCCCGGGCAAGGCTCATGTTGATTTTCCAGTGCGGTTTATTTTGTTTTCTGGAGAAACACAATGAAAAGCACAGGCTCTGTGTGCACTATCCGCCTGCTTCCCTTTTTTATTTCTGCAGATTCTCCATCTCTGGATATTTTCTGTCAAGGGACTTGTACAATCTGTAGTCTTTGGTTGGCCTTTATCCACTCCACACCGTGTTTTTAAGATCTGTCCGCATGGTAGCATCAGCGCTTCTTTATATATATATATATATTACAGTATTATATTCCATGTTGACAGAGACTTGGTTTCTCTCCACTTTGGGGCTATTATAAATAATGCCTCTCTACGCAATTTGTCATGATTTTGCTTTCAGCCTTCTTGGATACACACATTCAGGTGAAATTGCTCCGTTATAGGGCGACTATCTTTACCATTTTAAGGAACTGAAAAACTTATCTAGAGTGGCTGCACCATTTTACTTTCTTACCGGCATTGAATAAGGGTTTCAATCTCCCCGCAGCCCACCAACACCGCTACTGTCCGCCTCTTGTTTATGCTATCCTAATGGGAAAGACATGGTATCTCATTGTGATTTTAATTTGTATTTACTTAATAACCAGCGATGTGTGAACATCTTTTCGTGTACTTTTTGATTGTTTCCACATCTCCTTTGCAGACACATCATTTTAAATTCGTCGTCTATCTGTAATTTAAATTTTTGTAAGCAAGTGTGTTTATGGTGTATGCATGTGTGTATGTGCGTGAGTTTGTACTTGTGTGGAGGTTGAGGTCGACGTCAGGTGTCCTCGAGCACTCTCCATCTTACTTTTTATTTTTGAGACAAGGTTTCTCTGTAGCTTTTTGGTTCCTGTCCTGGAACTAGCTTTTGTAGACCAAGCTGGCCTCGAACTCACGGAGATCCGCCTGCCTCTGCCTCCAGAGTGCTGGGATTAAAGGCGTGCGCCACCACCACCCAGCCATCTTACTTTTTAAAGTTTTATTCATTTTTCAAATTGTGTGTATATGTCTGTGTGAGGATATGTGCCCGGGAGTGCAGCTGCCCTCGGAGGTCAGAGGCACGAGAGCCCTGTAGAGCTGCAATTTCAGGCAGCTGTGAGCCATCTGATGTGGGTGCCTGGAATCGAACTCAGGTCCTCCGGAAGGTCGCTATTGGCTCTTAACCACTTAGCCGCCTCTCCAATTTCCATCTTATTCTTTGAAAGGCATTCATTGGCCCTGGAACTTATGTTTGACTGGCTGGCCATCAGCTTCATGGATCTGCCCATTCTCAGCCCTGGGGCTACAGACCACACAGCACTGAGACCAGTGTTTACCTGCTGCTGGGCATCTGAGTCAGGCCCCCATGCTTGCTCAGCAGGTACTTGAACGGTCAAGCCATCCCCTCAGCCTTTGGGTTGTCTTCTGGTTGTTGAACTGTCACTTAACAGACAATCGGTTTGTAAATATTTTATCTCATTCTGTGGATTATCTGTCCTTCTCTCTTTTCCTCCCAATCTCCCTCCCTTCTTTCCTTTCTTAGCTCAGGCTAGCCTTCAGTTTCTTGATGATATCCTTATAAGCATACATATTTTACATTTTGATGAAGTTGATTTTTATCACTGTGTGTGTGTCTCTTGATTTTCCCAATTACTTGTGTTTTATTTGTTTGTGTGTGTGTGGTTTATGTGTGTGTGGTGTGTGTGTATGTGTGTGGTGTGTGTGCATTTGTGTGTATGCATATGTGTATGTGTGTGGTATGTGTGTATGTGTGAGGGTGGTGTGTATGTATATATGTGTGGTGTGTATGTATATGTGTATGTGTGTGGTATGTGTATGCATATGTGTGTGGTGTGGTGTGTGTGTATGTGGGTGAATGGTGTGTGTATATATGTGTGGTGTGTATGTATATGCGGTGTATGTGCTTATGTATATATTTATATGTGTATATATGTGGTGTGTGTGTGTGCTGGATCTCATGCATATTAGGCTAATACTCTGCTACTGTCGAATTGTTTTATTTTTCCCTCCAGCTCTGTCAGGTTTTTCTTCTCATATTTCAGGGCTCTACTCTCAGGTGCACATTTGTTTATGTCCAAACAGTTTCTTCAGATAATTTGTCCTTCACTTAGGAAGGGAAAAAGAAAAGAAAGCCTGGTACTCGGACAGGAAGGCAGCGCGTCCTTTGCTTAGGACATTTTATCATCTTTAAGTTCATGCTTAGTTCCAATCCCATTCTAGCTACAGAACTAGCTAGCCACTACCCAAAATCATCGCCAAAGCAAGCCAGCTAGCTGGTACTGGCGCCAGACGGCAAGCCCCTTGAGATGTGTGTGCCCTTTGCGATTGCTGCCTGTGTACCTTGAGGACTCTCTCTGACCAGGCCACCTTTCCCAGAGCTAGGGGTAGGTTGTGGTGAGTCTTAGCTCTGAGCAGCTGAGATAAAGGATAACAAGGTGATGGTTCTTCCAGAATGACGCTATCAATCCTGAGGACTTCCCAGAGTCTGTATACAAGAGCTTCCTCATGAGTCTCTGTCCTCGGCCAGAAATTGACGAGATCTTCACTTCTTAGTGAGTTCCTTGGGCTGGGCATGGAGCGGTGTTAAGGAAGGCAGTTCCTCCCTTCCGAGAGAAGAACCTTTAGGTCCAAAGACAACATCTGTGCCCCTCTCCCGGCCTGCAGCCACGCTAAAGCTAAACCCTACATGACCAAGGAGCACCTGACCAAATTCATCAACCAGAAGCAGCGAGACTCTCGCCTCAACTCCTTGCTCTTCCCACCGGCCCGGCCTGAGCAGGTGCAGGCCCTCATCGACAAGTACGAGCCCAGCGGCATCAATGTGCAGAGGGGTGAGGACCGAGGAACCCCTACTTCCTGTAGTCTTATCCCGCCCTGGGAGCCGAGCTGCAGCCGTGACTGCTTGCTGTCCACTGTCTCGCAGGCCAGCTGTCGCCGGAGGGCATGGTCTGGTTTCTCTGTGGCCCAGAGAACAGTATGCTGGACCACAATGCACTGCTGCTCCACCAGGACATGACACAGCCCCTGAATCACTACTTTATCAACTCCTCCCACAACACCTACCTGACAGGTGGGTCCTAGGCTCTGGATTCTCCACAGATGCTTGCTCGCGGGACAGACTGTGAGGTTGTGAGGGGACTAGCCTGGCTGGGAGTGACATCCTCACCCCTTCTCTCTGCCGGCTCAGCTGGCCAGTTTTCAGGCCTCTCCTCGGCTGAGATGTACCGCCAGGTGCTGCTGTCTGGCTGCCGCTGTGTGGAATTAGACTGTTGGAAGGGAAAGCCCCCCGATGAGGAGCCCATCATTACCCATGGCTTCACCATGACCACAGATATCTTGTTCAAGGTGGGTCTTGGGATATGGAGAGCGATTGCAGTGGAAGGGGCCGAGGAGAAGCCTTCTGAAGTTAGGGGAGTGAAGCCGAGGGCAGGGACTCTCTCTGGAAGGCCTCAAGCTGCTTCGAGGCTACAGTGGCTACCTATTTTCACGCCTTTGCTGAAACAGAGGGAGGCACTATGGGGAGGGGCGACACAGGGAGGGGGTGCCCTCTTTACAGAGTTCCTTTTCCCTCCAGGAAGCAATTGAGGCCATCGCAGAGAGTGCCTTTAAGACCTCCCCCTATCCTGTCATCTTGTCATTTGAAAACCACGTGGACTCGTGCGTACCCAGGCCACGTCAGCCTCATTCTCCATCTGCACCGCAGCCTCTTGCCCGAACCCCATCCACACCGTCCCGGGCTCTTTGGTCTCAATACAGCCTCCTTTAGGACTTCAGCTTCTCCTTCCTGTGTCCCTCCCTCCCCTGCTTCCTGGGCCCCTGATCTGAGCCCTGATGGCACAAATGATGGGCAAGAGAATTGGCACTAAGCAACTAACCCCTGCCTTTACTTTTGCTCACTGCTACCAGACCCCGCCAACAGGCTAAGATGGCAGAGTACTGCAGGACCATGTTTGGAGACACCCTACTCACGGAACCCCTGGAAAAATTTCCTGTGAGTGCAGTCTTGAGAGGGGGCATCTGAACCTGGGGAAAGGTGGAACTGGGTCAGGACGGGAGAGACACTTGAATTTCTTTGGTTGGATTGTGAGTCTGGGCTCCTGTCACCTACCATGTGTCAGAGAGTATGCTAGAATTAAGGGTCTCCTAGTGCTGGCTTTTATCAAGAAGTGCCCGAGGCAGGAAAATCTCAAGTTTCATGCCATTTGGGGCTGCATAGTGAGACCCTACCTAAAACAAACAAACAAACCAAACAAGACAAAATAAAACAAAGCCGAGCTCTCCCGTCGCTGCCCAGGTTTCTGACCCTCTTTCATGAGGAGATGGACAAGCGTCCAGGCCAATGATAGCCAGCGGTTGCTATGGGAAACAGTGCTCCAGAGTTAGGGGATCAGGGAAGACTTCCTGGAGGGATGTGATGGTTAGACGAAATCTGGAAGCTGACAAAGGCTCAGTGAGCATGAGGAAAGCACATTCTAGTCAGAAGGAACGGGTAAAAGAGACATGACTGCCAAGGAACGGGTCATTTTGGTCAAGTGGGAATTCAGGACCCGAGAATGGTGGGAAGTGAGCCAACAGACAGGTCCACACCAGAGGGACACAGTTTGGAGTAGCGAGCACACACCACAAAAGAGGCAATGGTGCCCACCCTTTCCCCTTTCCACAGCTGAAACCTGGCATCCCTCTGCCCAGCCCTGAGGACCTCCGGGGCAAGATTCTCATTAAGAATAAGAAGAACCAGTTTTCTGGTCCAGCATCCCCTAGCTCCCCTGATGAGCAGAAGCCTAGTGGGGAGGCTGAGGGCAATAGCCCATCTAGTGTCCCCATAGAGGACGACACAGGTGCGTGAGTTACAAGGATAAGGTGGGGTTTGGGGAGAGTCAGCACTAACAGAACTGTGTGTGGCAGTGTGGACCGGTGAGGACCGGACTGAGGCAGAGGAGGAGGTGGACGAGGAGGAAGAGGAAGAGTCAGGAAGCCTGGACGAAGAAGAGATAAAGAAGATGCAGTCGGATGAGGTGTGTGGGGACAGTCCCTCTGCCGTCTCCACTGTGATGCTCTCCAGTGGGCATGGACTGCAGTCTGGGCGCCACCACTCAGAGTCATGCCCCCGCTTGATCTCTAGGGCACAGCAGGCTTGGAGGTGACAGCTTATGAGGAAATGTCCAGCCTGGTCAATTACATCCAGCCCACCAAGTTCATCTCCTTTGAGTTCTCTTCACGTACGTATGTGAGTACAGGAAAATGGGGGAGAGAAGGCAGGCTGGGATCAGGCAAGGGCTGCCCTCCCTCATTCAAGAGTGGCCTGGTGAGTGGGAGGAAAAAAAGGGGGACCTGCCCCCTCCTTGCACTAAGGTCCTTGTCTATAAACACTCAGTGGAGGAGTCAGACAAAGGGCTTGTTTAAGTGGCAATGGCTCCCAGCATCGGACTGAAGAACTTGGCAGCAGATGGAATGTTCTGGAGTGTGTCAGTGACAGGCAGGTCGTTATGACAGGCCACCTTAGCCAGGCCTGTCTGGGGCTTCTGGAGTTTTCTAAAGTTTTGCAGTTCCCAGGACTAATTATACCAAATGCTGCCCCAAGTCTAGGAGCCCCAGTGCTGGAGGTAAGAGTTCCTGGGAGGGCACACCTTTAATCCTAACACTGGGGAGACAGAGGCAGGTGGATCTCTGAATCAGAAACTACACACTGAGTTTCAGAACAGCTGGGACTCTATATAGAGAAACCGTGTCCAGAGAGGGAGGGGAAAGAGAGAGAGAGAGAGAGAGAGAGAGAGAGAGAGAGAGAGAGAGAGAGAGAGAGAGAGGGAACAGCCTAATGTGGACCTTCCCTCCTCCCTGGAACAGAGAAGAACAGAAGTTACGTCATCTCTTCCTTCACGGAGCTCAAGGCCTATGAGCTGCTCTCCAAGGCCTCGATGCAGTTTGTGGAGTATCCTTGAGGCTTCACCAGCCAAGGTCCCTGGTGGGATGGGGCTTGCGGGGCGGGCCTGGGGTCCTGCTTGTGCAAGTGGCCTTGGCCAGATCCTATACTCAGCAACAGCTACAATAAACGCCAGATGAGCCGAGTGTACCCCAAGGGTACACGCATGGACTCTTCCAACTACATGCCCCAGATGTTCTGGAATGCTGGGTGCCAGATGGTTGCCCTCAATTTCCAAACAATGGGTAAGAGCCCTCCTAGACTCAGAGAACCTCCCGAGGCCCTGCCTAGCCCATCTTTATCCCTTCCCTGGGGGATCTTTGACGCATACCGGTATGGTGTCTGGGTAGGCTCTTGGAGCTTGCTGTGGTATGCGAGCATTTTGGGGAGGGGAGCATTCCCTCATGCCTGGTCAGCTGTTCATCTATCAGAACATACACAAGAACATACAACCAAGGCCGGCACGGGTTCTAGCTGCTCTGTTTGGCTGTGTTTCTGGAAACACCTGTGCCAGCCATCCCAGGTCCACTGCAAGTTTGTAGCCCAGTCATGCCGTTGCTCCTTGCTGACCCTAGGCTGAGGACTCCCCTCCTGAGAGGCTAGATACCCCCAAGGACCTGGGATGGGACATGAGAAAGTCTCACCCTCGTGATCTACCCAAATGTCCCCATTCCCAAGGCAAGCAAGGCTTGAAAGCATTGGAAAGAGCCTGAGAGTGGATCCAGGCTCCACCTCCTCACTGTGCCCTCTCATACCCCCAGACCTGCCAATGCAGCAGAACATGGCACTGTTTGAGTTCAACGGACAGAGTGGATACCTCCTGAAGCATGAGTTCATGCGCAGGCTGGACAAGCAGTTCAACCCCTTCTCGGTGGACCGCATTGATGTGGTGGTAGCCACCACCCTTTCCATTACGGCAAGGCCCAGGGCTGACCAGCGGCCGGGAGGGCTGGGCTCTGGAGAAGGAAAGCCTAGAAGCCCACCCCTCTGCCCCAACCCCCTTCCCTGATATCCTGAAGACTCCAGCCCCAGCCAGTTCGTGCAGTAGCAAGTTGCCTTGGAAACTGCCTCCTCCTCAACACTGGAGTCTGCCTCTTGGTCCCCATGGAAACCAAGGGAAGGGCTGAGGCTCCAGTGGGGGGAGGGGAGAGGGACTGGTCCATGCTGGGCAGCAGGAGCCCAGGCTCCAAACCAGGGGGGAAATGTTCCGTTGCTCCCTTCTTGTCTGAGTTGGCCCACCTCTCCCCTGAGTGCCAGAAGCACCCAGGTCCTTAAAGCTTGGCTGTCAGTCTTGAGTCACACAGCTTCTATTTGATGGCCAGGGCTGAAAGGGGACTTTCTTAATACCCACAATAGGTACTTAGTCCTGTCTTTGTATTAGGAACCAACCTAAGCGGGGTACCTAATGCTGGCCTCCCCTGGGTCCTCACCCTTAGGTGATCTCTGGGCAGTTCCTGTCAGAGCGCAGTGTTCGTACCTATGTGGAAGTGGAAATATTTGGCCTCCCAGGGGACCCCAAGAGGCGCTATCGCACCAAGCTGTCACCTACTACTAACTCCATCAATCCTGTCTGGAAAGAGGAGCCCTTTGTCTTTGAGAAGGTGCTGGGGAGGGAGTTGGCATTGGAGCTTGTCCCTAGTTCTCGGCCTTTGCTTACAGATAAGGGAGAGGGGCTCCTGACCCACCATTTCCTCTCTCTGTCCCTCCTCTATGGCTTTCTGACTTTCAGATGTCCCAAACTCAAGTTCGAGGTGTGTGTGTGTGTGTGTGTGTGTGTGTGTGCACGTGCGCATGTGCGCGCATACATGCACGAGCACGCATGTCTGCTGGGGGGAGAGTGTGTACTCATTAGGATTAGGGATGGAAACATGAACTCCCTACCCAGTGTAAGGGGATGATGAGGTTCTTTTGTCTGCTTGGACACTGGTTGGCAAAGCTGCCAAGGGCTATTTGCATGGGGCTCACTGTCCTGGGCTGCATATCGAGCCCTTTTCCCTGTGTGAGCCTGGCACAAAGTGTAAGATGCCTGTTATAGGGCATGGCTTCCGCCTATCCTCACCGTTCTGGTAAAGCTGCCAGGTTCTCATCCTGGCAGAGAGACTTCTGGAGACAGCAGCGAAGGGAAGCTAGGCTCCCCTGTGTCCACTCCTCAGCCTCTCCTGTCATAAATTACCTCTAGATCTTGCTGCCTGAACTGGCCTCCCTTAGAATAGCTGTGATGGAAGAAGGGAACAGATTTCTTGGACACCGAATCATCCCTATCAATGCCTTGCGTTCTGGTAAGGAATGGACCTCTTAACGACCTGCCGAGACTCTGAGACGAGACCAGTATCCTGTTTAGAGGTTGGGGCCGGGGGGCTTCAGGCAGGGTCTCTGTGGCCTCACCATCTTGTCTAAGGAGTGGGATAGGAATGCTTTCTCCAGGAACCTGACCCGTGGGAACTCTGCCCACCTAACAGAATGCCCAAGCTTTTTTGGAGCCACTGTTACAGATTCCTGAGCAGCTGGCATCCACGGGCACTTAGAATGTGTGAGAGGAGCTGAGGAGGTGGCTCAGCAGGTAGAGGCACTTGCTGCTAAGCCTGATGATCTGAGTTTGACCCTGGGCCCCACATGGTGAAAGGAGAGAGCCTGTTCCCACAAGCTGTCCTCTGACCTCTGCACGTGCCTGTGCTTGCGTGTGCGCACACACAGTAAATACATTAATAAAAACGTGTGAGGAGCTTACAACACATTCTCGTAATAAACACACGAGGCAGATGGATGAGAACCCAGAGAGTTAGCCTAACCCGCCCAAAGTCACACCATAGGGAAGCATCGCCTTAGGCTTAGGACCCTGGCGTTTGACTCTAAAGCCAGACATCCTAAGTGCTGTTTGTGTGCAGTCCTGGGCAGACTTATGGCTGCCACCCCCTCGTCCTGTTCAATAGGATACCACCACTTGTGCCTGCGCAGTGAGAGCAACATGCCTCTTACCATGCCCGCCCTCTTTGTCTTCCTGGAGATGAAGGACTATGTGCCCGACACATGGGCAGGTAGGAGACCTGTGGCGTGCCAGGGGCCCCACACTGTCCATTCGCTCTCCCTTTATTAAGCCAGTATCTCACAGGGAACAAGAAAGGGTGGTAGGCAGATCTTTCTAGGTTCAGCTTCATATGTACCAGGCTGGTCGTGTCCTGTGCTTCCCAGATCTGACTGTGGCTCTCGCCAACCCCATCAAGTACTTCAATGCCCACGATAAGAAGTCTATGAAGCTCAAGGAGGTGACAGGAAGTCTGCCTGAGGTCTGCGTTACCTAGACTACTGCCAAAAGCCTCCATGAGCTGTGGGGATAAGTGGGGAGGGGTGAGTGGGGAGGGGCAGCATCCCCTGCTCAGGGAGAGGGGTGTTAGAGTCACCTTTCTGACAGGCTGTCTTCACCCAGAAGCCCTTCTCATCCGTGATTCCTGTTGCCAGACAGTCCAATGGGGCTTCAGTCCTGGCCGGCAACGGGTCGACAGGTAGGTAGTTCCGGGTCCACCTGCCTGGTGGATAGCTCTCCACCTCTCCCACCGCACTCATAGTCTCCCAGGGACTAACGTTTTCATCTGGAGAGGGAAGATCCAGGTCTGGAGCCTCAGCACTAGAAAGGGGTGGTTGCAGAGGGCGCAAACTGCAAGCCTGCAGGAACCAAACGGAGGTGCCTTGTCCAAGGCACCTGACAGTCCGGTCCTGCACTCTTACAGCACCTGGGGCCAAGGCCAAGGAGGAAGCTACCAAAGAAGTGGCAGGTAAGGCCAGCTGAGCTCTGTGATCTTGGGATAGGATCTGGGAGGTGGGCCTGGAACCTTGCAGGTGGGGCAGGAGGGCAGGGAGGAAGCTCTGGGCAGCTCGACGCCATAGCTACGTACTTTTCAGAGCCACAGACAGCCAGCTTGGAGGAGCTGCAGGAACTAAAGGGCGTGGTGAAGTTGCAGCGGAGACATGAGAAGGAGCTTCGAGAGTTGGAGCGGCGTGGAGCCCGGCGCTGGGAGGAGCTGCTGCAGCGTGGCACCGCACAGCTGGCGGAACTTGGTGCTCCAGGAGCTGCCTGCAAGATCCGCCCGGGCAAGGGTTCCCGCAAGAAGAGGTAAAGGATTCAACGGTGTTCTAACCCCGCCCCCCCCCCCTCGAGTATTGGCTCCTGGTTCAGGGCCTGTTCCCACGTGTTTTTCACAGGATCCAGCCTTGTGAGGAGACTGTCGTGGTGGCGCCTAGCGAGCTTCCCGAGGCTGCGGACCCGCGCGTGCAGGAACTGAAGGACAGGCTGGAGCAGGAGCTGCAGCAGCAGGCCGAGGAGCAGTACCGCTCCGTCCTCAAGCGCAAGGAACAGCACGTGACCGAGGTGTGGGCCGCGGCGGCGGCGGAAGCAACCGACCCCACCCCTTCTGCACTGTCAAAGGCTTCTCACTAAACCCGTCCTTCCTCCTGCACAGCAAATCGCCAAGATGATGGAGCTAGCCAGAGAGAAACAGGCTGCTGAACTCAAGACCTTCAAGGAGACCTCAGAACTGTGAGACTGCCTCCAATGTCTGCCTGTTCCTCCCTCCTGGCAAAGGCTGCAGCTCACAGAATATCTCCTTCTCTCTGTCTCCCTGCAGTGACACCAAAGAGGTGAAGAAAAGACTGGAGGCCAAGAGGCTGGAACGGATCCAGGCCATGACCAAAGTCACCACAGACAAGGCGGCCCAAGAGAGGTAAACCCTGAAGGAGGGGCCCAGCTGAGCAGCTCCTCCTCCAGCTGGAAGGGGGTCTCCCTACAAGGGATCCTAACTTGCTTCCCACAGATCTGCCTCTCTCTTGGCCCTTAACAAGTTGGTGGGTCCCCCTGCTGTATCTCTGTGTCTCCCTTGAGCAAAACACAGATGCCAACGCTGCTTAAGCTGAGAGAAGGGAAACCGTGGGCAAAGAGGGGAGATGACACCTGGGGACAGCAGCCTGTCTACTTAGGCGTCTGTGCTCCTGACCTGTGTGCACTCTGGAGGCCTTTAAGTCAGTGTGTTTTAGGGAGGAAGTAGGTAGGCCCCAGGGCTCCCAGTACCAGCCCCTCCATCTTCCATGCTGGTCTCTCTGCTTGTTGCTCCTTCAAGGATCGAGTTCTTATTTGTCGAACCCTTGGGGCTCTGCCCCTCCCCCCAGGAGGGTCCCTATATAAAATTCCAATTATATCAACAGGCTCAAGAGAGAGATTAACAGCTCCCACATCCAGGAAGTGGTACAGGCTATCAAGCAGGTATGTAGGGCTGTATCCTTCCCAGATACTCTCCGCATAGGTGTGTGTGGCTATGTGGGTGTCCTTCCTTGGAGCCCTTATGGCTTGTTGTCCAGAAGCGTCCATGCAGCTAGGAATGGGAGGAAGTCCTCTGAGGTCCTGGCCTGTATATACAGGCTGGGGTGCCAGTCTGAAGGGAACTGTCTGGAAAACATGAGTTAGCCAGTCATGGAAGAATGAGATTGGATGGGGTGGGTGAGGAAGGCTTCCTGAGGTGCCGTGGAATGGAAAGAGGAAGGGCAGCTCTGTTAGAAGGGACCTCATGCTCCTTCCCTGGGCATCGCTGACCGCAGGAACAGGCCTTGCACCTCCTGTGGCCTGACCTTGTGCCCAGTGCGATGTAGGCCTTGTACCTCTTGTGGCCTGATCTTGTGTCCGGCACGGTGTATGCCAAGTGCCTCCTGTGATTGTTGCATGTAATCCTTCTCAGTCCCTGGAGCCAAGTACTATTACGTCATTTTACAAATTGAGAAAAAAAAAAAAACCCTGCCCAGAGGTTAAGGAATTTATCCCGAGTCTCACTGCTGGCTAGCTGAGATAAGAACTGGCTTCCAACCTAGCCTTTCACCCCTACCCAGATGACAGAGACCCTGGAGCGGCACCAGGAAAAGCTGGAAGGGAAGCAGACGGCCTGCCTGGAGAGGATCCGGGAGCTGGAAAAGCAGGTGAGAAGAGGATCCCTGTCCTGGCCCCAGTGGAACCCAATGAGCTCTAGGGTAGGATGGGGCCCAACCCCAGTAGCTCTGGGCAGGAGGTGAGGGAAGGGGACCATCACATCTGACCAGTGGGTCACAGGCAGGTTCTCATGGAGTCCCGGGGCCCTTTCAAATGAGATATCTGTATGGGTTTCTTTGCTTGATCTTTCTCCTGGGAGGTTCTCTGATGGGCTTCACTACTCCCATCTGCTCCAGTCTCTCGGGAGCTCTGAGTAGACTAAGCATCTTAGTGCTCCATAGGGTTGGGGGTGGGGTGGGCAGGACCCCTTCCTGGCCTAAGTAGTGGCCCCTACTCTTTCTTCAGTTCCAGGAGGAGGCGCTGGCCGAGTACGAGGCCAGGATGAAGGGCCTGGAGACTGAAGTAAAGGAATCAGTGAGGGCCTGCTTCAAGGCCTGCTTCCCCTCTGAAACAGAGGACCAGCCTGAGAGGGCCTGTGAGGCCTCCAAGGAGTTGTGTCCACAGGAACCACTCATGAACAAAGCAGACACCCAGGAGAGCCGCCTCTGATGCCACCACCTCACTCAGACATTTTAGCAAGGATGTCCACACCCTTCTCTGAAACATGGTTCTATTCCTTTGAAGAAAAGGACCCTAATTAATACTCAGGGGGCCATGGGAACCTGTGGCTACCATGGATGCTGCAGCCCCCTTCTCATCCAGATGAAGGCAGGAAGAACAGACCACCAGGACAAAGAGCCCACTTGGAAGCCAAGTCTTTTTCTAAGGTGGCTTTTTCTGTCCATCCCACCCATAGTGCTATGTACCCATTGAAGGCCAAGAAGTCTGGGCCAAGAGAGAAAGAATTGGATCCTAGTGTACCGCCAATCACTCCCCGCCTGGAGCTCATTTTCCTTTCCTGGAGGCGTGGCTTTACTCTCTGGAGTCTTTACTCTTGGACCTGTGGCTCCAGCAGAATCCAATCCAAGCCTCCTGCCTTGATGTAGCACCCTGCACAGGCTTCTAGGCCACATCTCGGGCCTGTCTTGAGAGCAGAGTGTTGCCAGCTCCTGAAGGCCGAGGCTGGCGCTGCCTCGAAGCTCTCTGGGGGTGGCTACTTCCAGGGTGGCAGCAAAAGCCCCTGCCCGCACCTCCTGCCTATGACAGCTCCTCAGCTGCTCAAACACTGGAGTGACGAAGGAGACTCTAGCTTCTCGGGTGCTCTCTCTCCCACCTCTGATCCTGGGTCCACCCTTTTTTCTGGGTCTCAGTCTGGCACTTCCATTCCGGCACCCCACCCCTATCAGGTGGGTTGTTTGAGGGGTTCATCATCATTTCCTTTCCTGGATTGATGTGGTTTATTTATTTTTCTCCTTCCTCTGCCTACCAAAGACCCCTGACCTGAAATTTCCTGCCTTAGGCTGGCCTCTGTTCTCCCTTAGGAGAAGTAGGCAGGGGAGTGGAAGGCCTTTTGGAATGAAGCTGGGTGAAAGGGGATGGGGGTGGGTCCCTCAGGAGCCTTCTAGGGCCCTGTACAATGGCCTTGCCTCTGGCTTTAAACAGGAGTTGCTTCCCCATCTGCTGGCCCTGCTGCCAGAACCATTGGGGGATGATGTCACTTCCCCCTTCTCTGCTCTCACACAGATGCGGCCCTTCCTTGTCTCTACTCTCAGGGCCGGAGCAGAAGACACCTGTACAAAAGTGCACCCCACCCTCTTCGTAACCCCAAACCATTAGGCTGTCTGGGCCTCTTTAAGAAGAGTGAACACATGCTCACAGTGGGGGGGATCTGCTGTTGCTGTGGTTGACTCCAGCTCTTGCTGAAGGCAGGGCTGTGGCCACTATTCACAACACCTACAGCTCCATCCCAAATCCCAGATGGGACTGGTAGGGTGGGGTGATTCTGGGAAGAGGTTGTTTTCTTATCAGAGAGTTACAACAGGTGTCATTAACTGTGAGCACCTGTGCCTTTGGAAAATGAACAGGGACGCCCTCCCCCGTCCCTCTCAGGGCCTGACCTCAGGGGTCCCTACCAGTCCCTGACTACAGGGCAAAGTTAAAGCGTGTTCATTTATACTGCTAAAGCCTGGCATCTGCCGGCCAGCCTCCCTGTTGTAGCCACATTGGATACCCCCAGGGTGGCATCTACACCCCAGAGCAATGCCCTGACCTCAACCCACGGCCAGAAGTCTTATTTTTTTTCCCCATTTCCGTCTACCTCCTGGGGTTAGAACTCTGTGGGGGTGAGGATCCAGACTGAGGGGACCTCAGCGAGTCAGGTCCATGGGTATCCATCACAGCCAGCATAGCCCACTGGGCAACAGCCACAGTCACTACCCATGACACCACAGGTTCCTCTTGCCAGGCCAGGGTTGAACTGAGCAGCCCAGGAATGGGAAGGGAGTACATTCCTGCCTTCTGAAGCGTCCTCTGAATGACTTCTCAAGCAGTCTGGATACCCACTTGCCTGTTTTCAGTCTGATGCCAAAAGGGCTGCTTCCCCCCCCCCCCCGGGGCTGTCTTTAGGACCTGGGGAGAAGTTATTCTCTGGCCACGGGGGAACGTGCAGAGGAAGAGTTGATGCTCTCCCTTGGGCACTGGGCGCTGGGCAGGTGAAAGCCACCTGGGTTCCATCCCTGTTGTGCCATAAGGCCAGGGCCAGGTTCCCTCTTCATCATGATTCCCATTTACCTTTTGCATGGAGAAGGGTCCTCACCCCTTAGCAGTCCCGTGGCTGACTCAGTACCAGATCCTCTGCTGACTCACACCCCCTACCCCCCCCCAGCTCTCTGCAGCTCCCAGGCACGTGCCACTAGGCTCAACCCCGAGGAGCGAGCTGGCGCAATGTGACAGGGTGAGGGGGCTGCTGACACTTGAGGGGGAAAGGAGGGGGCGGGGAGGGGCAGTTACAGACAGACAGACTTGCAGTCTGAGGCACCTCTGGGAGGAAGCCCTTTTGCCAGCCTGGGGCCTGCAGGGGGAGAAGCTGGGCAGGTGGGAGGGGAGGAATGTGAAGTGCCTGCCTGCCCCCTGCCAGCGCCGCTCCTTCCCCTGTCAGCCTTCAGCTCCCTAAGCGACAGCTTCTAATTCCGGCTGTCGGTGCCGCTGTGCTCCAGTGACGTCTCAGAACACAGTGAGCCGAGGGAAGAAAGTCAGAGCAGGGGCTGTGGGGCCTGAGGCCGGGGATGGCTGCTCTCTGGGAAGTCAGCACAGTCAGAGCGAGGCTCTGAGGGGACTGGATCAACTATCTCTCCCCCTCCTCCCTGCCACAGGCGACAGAAGTCCACTGGGAGGAAGGACTTGGCCAACGCCCTCATCTGGGTTTTTGCTGCTTTTCTCCTCCTAGTGGTTCACAGTCTAATCTTTCTCCTGATCTCGGAGGCGGACAGAAGGGAAGAAAGTGTTTTCTTCCGTGACACAGACAGGGGAAACTGAGTCCAAAAGGGATAAAAAGCCTTCCTTCTGTGGGTAAAGAGGGAGGTGGTGGCGCACGCCTTTAATCCCAGCACTCGGGAGGCAGAGGCAGGCGGATCTCTGGGAGTTCGAGACCAGCCTGGTCTACAAGAGCTAGTTCCAGGACAGGCTCCAAAACGATATAGAAACCCTGTCTCAAAAAACAAAAAACAAAAAAAAGAGGGAGGAGGTCCCTGTTCCCTTTCTGGCCCCACCTGGTCGTAGGTAGGGCCGACTACCCTCTAGGGATGCTGTCTGGAACACTGGCTCCTGGGCCTTGAGTGGAGCGGGCTGAGCTCTCAGTCTTCACTTCCTCTTACAGATGAGGATCTGCAGGCCCGGAGTGACACACTGCTAGTACACGCCACAGGCTGAGACCTAGCTCTCCTGCCAAGAAGTGCGTGGGGGCTCATTTCACAGGGTGTGCAGTTCGCACATGCTCCCCAAAGGGCAAAGGAGAGTGTGAGTCCCTGTTCTACAATCTAGCCCAGGGTGGGCATCCCTGGAGTTGGGAGCTCTGGAAAGCACAGGGGCTCCCGGGGTGGGGGGCTTCTATCCTTTCTCCAGCAGCAAGAGTCCTCCTTAGAATCCTGTGCCTCAGGAGTCTCCTACAAAGCATATTTATTCCCGCCCTGCCCAAGCTGGGGACCCCTCAGTTCTTCACTGAGTCTCTTGTCCCTTACAGCATAGGACCCCTAAACACAACCCTCAACACTGTTCTCTGCCGTTGTCCCTGTCTGGTGCCCTTGTCTCTGTAACCCCTCTGTTTGGACTATCTTCCTATTGCTTAGTAGCCCAACATCGCTCGTCCTTGGAGGCCCAACCACCTCAGCTGCTGTCTTCAGAAGACCCCAGTTCCCTCTCTCCCATAATCCTACTCTTCCTTCTGCTGGCTGCCTGAGTTTTGTATTTGGCAGGTGTAGTCAGTCCTTGGGTAACACCCTCCCCTTGTCATATCCTGGGGTTTGTCTTCCTGACTGAGAATGCGAATCTCATTCATTCAGGATCCAGTTTGTGCATCTGTATTTCCTGTTGCTGGAAACACAACGATGGGTTCATGACGTCTATAAATTTAGTAGTTGACTCAGTAGTCCACTTTTTCTTTCTTTCTTTTCTTTTCCCTTTTTTTTTTTTTTTTTTTTTTTTTTTTGAGACGGGGTCTCATGTAGCGGAGGATGATCTGGGACTTCTGCTCCTGCCTCTCCCTCTCAAGTGCTGGGGTTACAGGTGCAGTACCAATAAGTTTGTGTATATTGGACAAATACTCTACCAGCTGCAAAAATCCCTAGCCCTTCGCTTACTCTGCAATTAAATTCCATTCCAGCTATCCTCACACCCTCTGGACCTAGGAAGTTATGAGGCACTCATTGTAAGACATCTCATCTGAGTACTGCCCCCCCCCAAAGCCAAGCAGCTGGTTCTCCAAAGGAAGAGGGTATTCAGTGGCTTTATATTGTTGATTGAAAATGGAACTCAGGCTTACCCCCTTTTTTTAGGGGTCAGGCCTAAAGTTCTGTGGCCTAGAGATGATTTTACGTTCAAGAGAACCAGCCCTGTGGGGGAATTCCTGCTTTTGTCTTTTGCCCTTTCCTGGACCATAGCTTGTCCTGGAGGAGACTGGGAGATAGTGCCCCGACAGTCCTAATGCCTGCACACTCTCAGGTCCTTCCTAAGGCACCTGCCCTGGGTCACAGCGGCCAGTGTCTAGTCAGCCTGCTCCACAGAGACCGTGGAACTGGCATGCGGGAGCGCTGTCAGGTTTGGAGACGTCTGAGATTGGAGAACGCACCCCCACCCTGCTCTGAGTGAGCGTGTGCGGGAGGCACAATTGTGTGTGACTGATTCGCTGCACTTTGGATGGCAGTTATCAGCCAGACTGAGCGCCCTCAGTCCGAAGCACAAATGCTTCGTGTCCCAACTTACTCCTCTGTCTCTTGCTGCCCCCCACACCCCCAGTCAAGCTCTTGTATTGTCCAGTTCTACCCTCATGGGGGTCCCAATCCCTTTAACCTAGAACCGATGGCAGGAGCTCCCGCCAGTTTCTAAGCAGCGGAGGGTACCGACTCAGGCGGAGGCGGGGGGGCGGGGAAAGAAGACTGCGATTTTAGGATTGGCCCCGCCGGGTGCATGTGGCCCCCGGCGAGCAGCCTCCGCCCCCGCCCCGCAACCGCCGCCGCATTCCCAGGGGAGCGCGGAGGAGGAGCCGCTCCCCAACTTCGTGGCCCACAAAGGGGTGGGGGTCAGGGGCGGTCTCCTTCGCCCTGTCCGTCCCTGTCCTGACAGCGGATCCCGCTTCCAGGGCAGCCATTGCCATGGAGACCCCCGAAGCTATAAAGCCAGGTATCTAGGCGTCGGGCACCTCACGAGCCTCTGAGCCCCCCAAGTAAAAAAGCAAGCGTCCCGGCCCCCGCAAGAGGGGAGGAGGCGGGGAGAGGCTCCGTGAGCTTGAGGAGAGGCGCTCTCCGCCGTGGCAGGAGGCAGGCGCGCCAGGCGGGAGCTACCCGCTCAGCAGGGGAGCCGGGGCTGCCCGGGGTGCGGGTGAGTGGCGCTGCTCCAAGCCTCCACGAGGGACCGAGGCGCGTCGGACACGGGGAAAACGGACCGAGAGTTGAGGAGGTCGAGCTTGAACGGGAGCCGGGAGTAGCAAGCAGCCCACACCTCCAGGCGGGAGGCTCAGGGAGGAGCGCAAGTCGAACCCGGAGCTGCGAGGCAGCGGGAGCATCAGGGAGACCGGAGAGGGAACCTCAGGACCCTCGGCTGCTGCCACCTACGCGCGGAAAGAGCGGTACGGGTGTCCGGGCCGGGGCTCCGGCCCCGTGGGGGTGAGGGAACAGAGGCGCCCCCGTGCGGAGCTGTCGAACTTCCCGGGCACGGTCGCCGGAGCCATGCTCAAGCCCAAGGACTTATGCCCCCGGGCGGGTACGCGCACCTTCCTTGAGGCAATGCAGGCGGGCAAAGTCCACTTGGCCCGTTTCGTGCTGGACGCGCTGGACCGCAGCATCATCGACTGCCGCGCCGAGCAGGGCCGTACGCCGCTCATGGTGGCGGTGGGGCTGCCGGATCCCGCCATGCGCTCGCGCTTCGTGCGCCTGCTGCTGGAGCAGGGTGCGGCCGTGAACCTGAGGGACGAGCGCGGCCGCACTGCACTCAGCCTGGCCTGCGAGCGAGGCCACCTGGACGCTGTGCAGCTGCTGGTGCAGTTCAGCGGCGATCCGGAGGCAGCGGACTCGGCGGGCAACAGCCCGGTGATGTGGGCGGCGGCGTGCGGCCACGGGGCGGTGCTGGAGTTCCTGGTGCGCTCTTTCCGCCGCCTGGGCTTGCGCCTTGACCGCACCAACCGTGCTGGCCTCACAGCGCTGCAGCTGGCCGCCTCCCGCGGTCACGGGACCTGTGTGCAAGCCCTCACCGGGCCTTGGGGTCGGGCAGCCGCAGCGGCCGCGGCCCGGGGCTCCAACTCCGACAGTCCCCCAGGCCGTACTGCCCCGGCGCCCAGCCCAGAGCGTCGACGGCCCAGCCCCCGTCGTCTACCGCGACCCCTCTTGGCGCGGTTTGCACGAGCTGCCGGCGGCCACGGCCACGGTCATGGCCACGGCCACGGCCACGGAGGTGAGCTTGCCTCTGCAGGCAAGGGCTCGGGCCGACACAGGGCACAAGGCAGCGAGAGGCCAGAGCTGGGCCGGAGCATGAGCCTAGCGCTGGGTACCATGACGGAGGAGGAGACAGCACGCCTTCGGGCAGGAGCTCTGATGGCCCGACCAAACTCACCCCAGTCTTCGGGGAGTGGGCGGTGGCGCTCACAGGAGGTGCTGAAGGGAGCGCCCCCAACCTTAGTGCAAGCCCCTATTGGCCTCAGTCCTCATCCCGAGGGTGGCCCAGGCTCTGGCCGCCTGGGTTTGAGGCGACGTTCCACAGCCCCAGATATCCCCAGCCTGGTAGGGGAGGCTTCAGGGCCCGAGAGTGGCCCGGAATTAGAGACCAATGCTCAGCCTTTCTCAGTGCCCGGGCCAAAGCCTTGGCAGGAGGGCACAGAGGCTGTGGTATTGCAGGCTCAGCGGTAAGGGGCATGAAGGTCGAGCCCTGCAAAGTCCACCCTCTTGTCTCTGGTCACCAAGTCTGTCCCTTCCTTTGCGATTTGCCCTCCCCGAACTTTGTCCCCTCACTGCTAAAGGGAGACCTCCCCCAGTCCTCCACCAGATTTAAGACAGAGATCTCATCCTTTTGTGCTCTTGGTATTTCCTGTGTAGAACTCTCAACCTTCCTACAGCCTGACTCTTGTCCTGGGGGAAAAAGAGGCGCGAAAGGCTTATTCTGCAGGCTTCAGCTTTCTAGCCAGAAACGTGGACCCCGAGGCCCAGCCGCCTAGGTACTGCTTCCGGTCCTGTAAGATCCCCTGCTTATTTCTAACTTTCCCGGTCACCTTGGTAGCCCGGCAGCAATAGAGGTGGCTTTGGAGAACAAAGGCCCAGGAGGCGGTGTCTACCGATGCTGACGGTAATAGTTAGATAAACTACCAAAGTTTCCCTTCGCTGTAAGTGTCGGAGGAAGCAAGGCTTGAAGTGGTCCCACTTTTTGGATCAGACGGCTGATTGTGAAGGAATCCAGTGGCTAAGGTTTTCTGAGGTAGAAGCTCCTCCTTCAAGGCAACGAGGGTATTTTGGGGCTCTGTACCATTTTGCTCACCAGTTGTCTCTTCTGGGGAGTAAGCTTTCTCTGACTGTCCCAGTCAGACCCAGGGTTCATTTATATTATAGGGTCATTGCTCCTCCAAGCCCCTGCTGACTCTTGGCTCCTGGGCCAGCCTGACCCCTCTGCATGACTGCATTCGAATTTCATTTTTGAGGTTCAGTGCTTCACTCATGGCGGTCCAGCTTTCCTTACATTTCCACTTAGTCCCAGAGGCCTGAAATGGAAAGAACTTAGCATCCCACCTCCTCCTCCCAGCCCCCCCCCCCATTCTGCACGTGGGTGCTCCAGGAGGGTGGAACAGTTAGGAAGGCTTTGCTTAATTGTATTTCTTCCAACCCTCAAAAGAACTCGTGTTTTGAGCCTTTGTGTACGAGGCGGAAAGCAGCAGGTCTGATCCGAGGCTTAAGAACCTGACAATGTCTCTTTAAATAGCACCTCCGCGAGGGGGATAATTGAATGGAGTGTTTGCAACGTTCAGCGGCGGCGCGCGGGAGTCGGGAGCCCACACGAACCGCAGGTCCGGATCTAAATTACATCAAACTCGGAGAGAGCCTAGGAGGGGGCTGCTAAACGTCTCCTGCTTCTTGCTGGGCTGTTAATGGAGGGCAGGGCAGATGATGGATGCTAGACGGAGACCAAGGACCCCTGCCTGTGCCCCACCGCGTGGGATGCAGGCCCAGCCCAGCTTCCAGCTTTTATTACTGGGCAGATTAGTGAGTCAGAAGCTACTGTGGAGAGGTAGTTAGGCCCCCTCCCCGCCAAGTCTTTTGTCCTCTCCCTCTCCGCCCCTGCCCGCCAACTCGGTACCGCCTCGACAGGCGGCAAAGAGAGGGGTTTGACAGGTCGCCTGCTCTACGACCCAATGTCAGTGTTAGCTCCTTGTGGGAGATCTGTACCAGCAAGGTGTGGCGAAATCTCCTGCTTCAAGCAGTGAATGTTTTCTGGCCATGACCGTACCTCGGGTTTCTGTTTGTGAACCCGGAAGAGTGAGCATGCAGCCCCTCACCTGCCTGCGATAAAGTCTTTTTAAGGCGTTGATCTGTTGTCTTTGTGGGAGGGTTTCTCACCAGTGACTCCGAGGGAGCTGCTCAGGGAGAGACCGCTGGTGCTGAGAAGCCGGGCCTGCGGTTTAGGGGTAGGAAGTCAGCTTCTACAGAGCCCAGACACCTCCCCAGTTCCTTGCCTCGCTAGCATCCGAGGCCGTGCGCCAACCCACACTTCGGACGGTGATCCTTGCTGCCCCCTGGTGGCACCTCTGCGCTCTCCTCCTCGCTGCCTCCAGGGAACTCAGACTTGGCTTTTGAGGGAAATAAGCGAGGTGTAGCTTCTCCCTCCGTGTGCATGTTACCCACGAAGCGTGTTTCTCTTGTAGAATAGTAAATCCGGATACTTGAAGTCACTTCAATGAAGTGAGGAACTGTGTACAAGGAAAGTCAGCATTGGGTGTAAGGAGTGCCCAGAACCTCACCAAGAACCCCAAGCCATTTTCCAAGCTAAGGCTACTGTTGAGAGAGCTCCTGCTATCTTTAGAACAGCTGGAGCTACCATCCCCTATGGCTCCTGAGCCTTGACCTGACCGTGTGCGTTGCTTTCCCTTCTGTGGGGATGGATCTGCCACTCCAACACGCACACATGCACGCACACACACCTGCCTCTCCTCAGTCCCCCAGTGGCTGATGAACAGTACCACTGAGTCTGAAAAGCCAGAGGTCAGGGCAGGGACACTCCAAGCGAACACTGCTTTCTCTCTGACCCTTCCTTGCTCACATTCCACTTTCAGCTGTGTTTAATTTTAACGACATTTTTAATGGCGTAAGAATACAAATATTTTGGCTTCAAGCACCATGAAGTTTGGCTCGCACGTCGTGTGTCGGGGTGCCGTCATCTTTTCGGTATCGCTGATGTGGTATTCTCGGGGGAATGTCACCTTGGCACATCCCTGTTGGGTAAACAACCGCTCCCCTCTGTGGTCTCTGGAGTGCCTGGAAGCCCGGTGGTTGAAAATGTTTTTGGAACACTGCAGCTGACTTGCCTGTCTGAACTGAGTTGTGGGACTTGCCGCCTGTACAGGCTCCATGGAGAACTCCGGCACACTTCACTCCCCCCAGACTTCCTCTGTCAGGTCTCAGCACACTGAGGCTCCAGTCACCCCCGCCTTGTTCCCTCCTGCTGTAGAAAAGACTTTGCTGTGTATTCTGCTTTTCGTCTTATTGTCCTCGTTATGAAGAGACTCCCTGGCCACTGGCACTCAGAACTGGTTGGTGGGGAAGACAGAAGGGCATTGGCACGTGATTATGGAAAGGACTAGAGGGAGGAAGAGCAGCTAATAAACCCAGTGGTATTCCGTTTGGAGAGCCGGCCTCTCTTTGCCTTCCTGCTCACTCCTGCCTTTTGGCTTCCTTTGAAAAGATGGACGCACACGTTTGATTTGGGGGTGGTTCCTAGCTTCGTCATCAGCCCTGACCCTGGCCATTCTACAGCTAGAGCCTGGAGATTGAGAGCTGCAGGAACTGCTTCTTGCTGAACGGGTGGGGCTGGGGCCCGAGTATGGCTCCTTGTTCCAGTTAGGTGGCTTCCGTGAGCAGTTGCATTGGGTGTAGAGCTCAGAAAAGGAAAATTGGAATTACTGCCAGAGCTAGAAGTTAAAAGGTAATTTTACTCCCAGCACTCGGGAAGCAGAGGCAGGCAGATCTCTGTGAGTTCGAGGCCAGCCTGGGCTAAAGAGCTAGTTCCAGGACAAGCTCCAAAGCTACAGCGAAACCCTGTCTCAAAAAAACAAAACAAAAGGTTATTTTACCTACCTCCCAAGCCCAGATCTGAAACCAAAGTTTCTTTTTTCTGGCCACTTGCCTGATCTTTTGAAAATTTGAAATTATTCCTTCAGTTTTAAGAGATGAACGGGTCTGCTTTCTCCCAGATAGAAGTTTCAGGGAACTTTCCATGGGCAGCCTGAGTTAAGGGGAGAAGCCAAAGTTGAAGGGTTCAGCCCTGGCCAGAGCCTCCTCACACCTTCACTTTTGTTCCTAGGGCCTTTCACTTCCTGTTTCCTCCCTCCTCTGCCCCCATTCTAGGTGTACAAGTCACCAGAAACGCTGGGTGTTCTTTGGGCTCAAGTGACCATGAAGGAGCCCACCAGGCACCCATTCCAAGGGCATCCAGCTCCGAGAAAGCCCCAGAGAATGGCAAACCCAGAGGTTCGAACATTCAGTTTAATTTAAAACAGGCACAAGTTGCAAACAATTCACAAAAATTTCTAGGGAAGATGCTTTTGTTTTTAAAACTCTGACCCTTAAAAAAAGACCTTGCGATTTCTTTGCCCTACTGCAGGTCATCAGGGAGCAGAGGGATCTAAAAATATTATCTGGATGTGGTCCAGACAGTGGAGTTCTTCCTTGGCATTCCCTGTCTCACAACAGCCAGGAAGGTGGGGAGGGAGGGAGGGGGGACAAGGGGGCAGGTAAGCATCTGCAGGGGCAGCTGGTTCACACATGGAGGTACCCATTCCTTGACATGAGCCTCCCCTCCTCCGCAGGAGGTGGTTCACCTTTCCGTCCCAGCCCAGGGTTCCAAAGAGGGTCCCTGATGATCTGGCTATTGAGTTGCTGGCAGGTGAAGCAATTCCTGTCTCAGTATGGGAGAAACTCAGAAACTTCAGGGCCCCCCAGCATGTGTTTAGACTTGACATACACACCCCTTCACTGTTCAGGTAATAACATGAGACTTAAGAGGCAGAAAGCTAGGCCCCAGAGCAGGTCCCTTCATCGTAGAGCTTGGTAGAAAAGAAGACTGGGGGGTGCAGCTCTTCTGAAGCTCTCTGTGGGTAACTGGAAAGGCCTGGGCCTTTGGGGAGACTTCACACACACACACACACAGACACACACACGGTGGGGGGGGGGAGAGAATGAGAATATGTTCTCTCCATCCTGAAAAAATGAAGGAGCCACTTTTACCATCAGCCACACACTCTCTCTCAGAAGATCCCCTTGCTACTACTCCCATGGCCTACACACAGGCAATTCACAGTTCTGTGGAGGCCTTCTGAGGAAAGGCTGTGCCAGGGGACAGACGGAAACAGGGGCAAGTAGGGCTTCCAGAAGTCAGGCCCAGGGAGGAAGAAGGACTCAGGTAATAAAAGTCTTCCCCGTGGCCCTCTGGGACTCCAGGGTTTGAAGCTGTAACTGAGAATAGCAAGTGTCCGTGTGAAGATGGGGCACACACCCACTCGGTGGCCCGGGACACTAGTGGACACTGCTTTTTAAAATCTGCAGCGGCCTGTCAGCTTTGCTGACCGGTGGCCAGGAGCACCACTCTCCGTGTTTCTTAGAAATATCCCTGTGCAAATAGCAAAGGGCCAAACCTGCAAAAGGGGGGTCACTGTCATCCCAAAGGCAACTGGGACTCTGGGGAGTGAGATTGAAGGGGGCAGGTCCGGCCTGGCCCAGTGGGCAGAAGGGCAAGAGGGAAGGGGTGGAGCTTCACATTCAATCTTTGGAGAGAATACTGAGAGAACAAAGGCAGGAAGGCCCTGCCAGCGGACTGGCTGCCCAGCGTCCTTGGCCTGTGGGCACAGGCGGCAGGTGCACCCTGGGTGTGAACTCAGCAGGTGGAGGTCTGCTTGCGGTAGAGATGAATCAGAGGCACCAGGCACTCGGGCAGCCCTGTCTGCAGCAGAAAGGGGTGATCCAGGAGCTCCTGGGCCGTGGCTCTCTCTTGGGGTTCCCGTACCAGCATCCGCTCCAGGAAGTCTCGCAGCACTGGGGAGACCTGTGAAGCAGAGCGGTGAGAGGGAGCCGTGGCTCACAGTTGTGGCCCTGCAGCTTGACTGCCTGGGGCTCCCACTCTGATACCTCATTTTCTCTGGTTTCTTACTTCCTGGTTCCTGGGGGAGGGGCTCACTGACTGTTGGATTATGAGGTAGGGAAAGGAGGCCAATTCACCTGACATGAGGGCTGCAGAGCAATGGAGTGAGGATGTCTGGAACTCTGGGGAGCTGGGTTCCATACACAGCCCATTACCCCTGCCTGCTTCTGGGGGCTCTTGGCACTCAGGTTCTGTGGCTCTGTGAAAGGGGCATGGAACCGGCATCAGCGATCCAGTTCCAGATCGATGAGGCTGCCTCAGGATGCTACGGAAGGCTGCCTCCTTGGGGTAATTCACTGGTGGGCGCTCTTCTGGCCCTGCTCCTCTTGGGCTTAGCAGGGCATGCCATCTTCATGGACCAAGCTGTCTTGGAGCCATTTAGAGACTGTACTTCAAGCCTCTGGCACAATTTTTTTGCTTTGGCCACCAGGTGGCAGTACCACTCAGCCGTCCTGTGCCGGTCTGTTAGCTGAAGATGGATTTGGCAGGAGAGAGTTAATCACAAGTATATCTACTGGTTCTAGGGGGGAAGCTGTGGCTCAGCTATGGTCAGGATGTGTCATACAACAGGACAGGCACGTTCATGTGACGGCACTGTGTTGGTTTGGAACCCCTGAGAGAAAGGTGGAAGGATTTGTATTGTGGGAGACAGACAGCAGGGAGTCCTGGGGTCCTCACTCTTTCTCTTCATAGGAATGGGCCCGGCTCCTGTCCAGAGCCTGCCGAGAAGTGATTCTCCTGCCATGGCTACAGGTGGGAACAGGTTGGAGTGAACATGGGAGTTTGTAGTCAACGTGACTTTGTAGCCAGCACTTGTTTGATGTGGAAAAGGACCAAAAGCTTGTATCCTTCTGTTTTCCTGGAGCCTGTGTGCCCATCCCTTTATCTCAGGAGCAAAGGGCTTGAGGGGATGAGGTTGGGGTGGGGGGCTCACACCTTATATGATAACTGACCTTGTAAGAGTTCTTTAACTTGGGTGGGGGGCTGTCCCGGAGTCTCTTCATGGCTTGCACTGGGGAGTCGCTGAAGTAGGGAGGCTCTCCGTCCACCATCTCAATCACCATGATGCCCAGAGACCAGATGTCCACCTGCAGGAGAAGAGCCCCGACTCTACTGCTGGGGTCTGGCTCTTGGTGTCGGTGTGTTGAAGGAGCACCTTGTCTCCCTAGTGAGTCTGCCTCCTTCAACCCCTGGTCAGTTGCCCTGTGGTCAGTTCCTTCCTATATGAGTGCTCAGTGACCATAGAAGCCATCCCTCATGGAGAACGCTGGCTATATGCCACCGTGCCTTTGAGCTGAAGTGAACAGTGTGTGGCAGGGCCTGCTCTTGACAGTGAAGTCCAGGAAAGACTGGCTGTGGTGGTGAGAGCCTTTAAGCCCAGCATTTGGAAGGCAGGGGGAGGTGTATGAGCTCTATGAGTTCAAGGCCAGTCTGGTCTACAAAGTGAGTCCCAGGAAATCCAAGGCTACGTGGAGAGACCCTATCTCAAAAAGGATACTGAATAAATGAGGAACCTCAGAACTGGGGTTGTTGTTGGTGGGACCACTTAACAGGGACAAGACGGAGGAGTTACATGTTCCTAATCTTCTCCAGGGAGGCCTGGAGGTATGTGGAGGGGAACAGTTACCTCGGTAGCATACAGAGATCTGGAGATCACTTCAGGAGCCATCCAGTATGGGGTTCCTACCAGGGACTTTCTCTTGGGGACATCTTTGCTGATCTGAGCACAGAATCCAAAGTCTGAGAGCTTTACCTGGGAGTTGAAAAGTAAGTGGGTAGAGATCAGGAAGAGGGGGTGCTAGAGAGGATGGAGGCCAGCTGAACCGTGGAGAGGGAGGACCTACCCTGCCGTCGAGGGTCAGCAGGATGGAATCACTCTTGATGTCTCGGTGGATGACACCCTGGGCGTGCAGGTAAGCCAAGGCCTGAAGCACAGCCTCACACACGGTAGCAATCTGCTCCTCATTCAGCCTGGACAGGAGACAGGCCCCCCACGGGAGAGGTGGATTATCAGGGTGGCTGGGCTGGGAAGAAAGGAGTCCCAGGCAAAGAGGCCAACAACTCCCAGGCAGCAGACTTCAGCAGGCTGTAACCATTTTTTCCTAAGATCACGGAGTCTCGGTTACCCTCCAAATAGGCAAGAGTCTAAGATGGCTAGCCTTATGGGCCAGAAGCAGCTGGTTGCCATGCCAAGGCAGCAGTGGGGTGGTCCTCCCCCAGTCCAGCCCTTTCAACTGCCTACCTGACTTGGGAGATGATGTCTGTGAGGGCCCCGCCCTGCAGGAACTCCATCAGCACCCACAGCTCCTCGCCTACCAAGTAACTCTTGTACATCTCCACCACATTGAGGTGCTGGTAGTCACGCATGATCACCACCTGAGGGTACAGAAAGGCCTGAGTGCCTAGCACAGCGCCCCATGGTCAGGCCACCCCGCCACCCTGCCCGCGGCTCCCAGGTGCCCTGCTACCGCTCCACCTGGTCCCCACCTCGTTAAAGAGCAGCTCCCTGCGTTGCTGCTTTCTGAGGTCCATCATCTTAACGGCCACCTGGCGACCCGAATGCTTCTCCCGGGCCAGACACACGATGCCCGTGGAGCCCTCCCCAATCTTCACATAGCTGTCCAGCAGCAGCCGGGGGTCACCCTGGTCCACCACCATCCTGAGTGCAGCCTTGAACTGCTCGTGTGTCACAATGCCCGTGTCCTCGCCGGCCAGGGCCCCCTTGGCCACGGTGGGGTCCTGGGGCAGGTATAGGTTGCTGGTGCTGATCTGAGCATGCCGCGTGCGGGGGGAGCCTGCTGGAGAGGACCGGCCTGGAAGTGGGCCAGCGGCTGGGACTGTGCGGAGGGACTTCTGGGGGCTGCTGGTATCCGAGGTGGTCAGGGGGCTGAAGGTCCCCATAGGCTGGTCCGAGGGCAAGGACTGGGCCTTGGCCACCAAGTTTGAGGAGGAATCTTTCTGCGGTGGTCGGAAAGCGGAGTTGAGCTGCAAAGACAAGGAAGGTCAGGGAACATTAGACACAAGCTTCCTGGAGGCAGGGTTGGCTACTGTGGCCTGGACACGAGCAGGGGCTTCTAAATTAATTAAATTTGGAAGACATGGACTCAGATGGTGAATTCAGGCCGTTAGCCGAGACCACACTGGTCAGCTGATCAGTTTGATTTCCCATGTTCTTGTCCTGACCCAGTAAGTAGGGAGGACCAGGCAGGCTTGGCATCTCTAGTACTTACTGTCCTTGCAGATGTCAGCTAAGTGTGCTTACTTGTCCTCCTTCGAGGGACCCCGGGAGGAAGACCCAGGTGATATACCTTGTTCTGTGGCAGAGGGACCGGCTTGCTGCTGGTTGCAGAGCCTGTGGCGGGAGTGGACAGGAACATGCTTCGGAAGAGCCGGTGCTTGAGACTGCTTTCCTGGTTCTTAGAGCTAGGGCTGCCTTCTCCACCTGGCCTGCCAGTGGCTGAGCCCACCAGGCAGGACTGTGGCCGCACCTCCTCTGAGCTATGCTTGGCAGCCTTCACCCCACGCCTCCCTGTGGCCATAGGGGGTGAGGTGCCAGGTGGGGAACTCGGTAGGCAGGCACCCAGCTGCAGGCAGCGCTGCGAGGCACCCTGGAATTCAGCAGGGCCCAAGGACTGTGCCTTGGCAGCCAGCCCATTGGGCAGGGCCTGTGGGCTCTGTGGCTCCGGCCACGGGATCTGCCTGTGACCTGCTGGTGTGCCCCCATTGCAGCTGAGGTAGAGGCCATGGGGATCAGTGCGCTCAGACTGAGGACTCTGAAGGTACATATCCGGGTCAGCGGCCCATTGCTCATCCCCCAGCAGCCCCAGCGACTGTGCCCGCCGCCGGCTAGTGGGGCTGCGTCCGCGCAGGGTATTGGAGCTGATAGCCGACAACTTCTGGATGTCGTTGAGCAGCCCTGAGATGTAGCCCTCCGTGGGCACTGAGCTGCCCCGCACCACCGTCTACGAAAGCAAGACAAAAGAGTGTGGAGAAACAGCCTCTTCATGGCGGAGGGTAGCTCAGAGCCTCCCTGAGGCCCCTGGGGGGGGCACCCACCCACACACCTCCTTTATCGCCCACCCATCGTTAGGTGTCCAGACATTTGCCTGTGTCCACAGTGGCTAAGGCCCATGCTGGGCAGCCTACACGGACGCAGGGAGAAAGCCCTTGTCAGCCGGGCAGATAGGCAGACACCGGTCGGTCCAGGATATAAAGCGGGTGACCCAGCGCGCCTAGAAAGCTGGAGAACTCAGGACAGGCGCTTCAGGCTTCTAGCTCTTCCCATGGTCTTCAGAGAGATGCCTGAGAAAACCAGCTCTGGGGCCTCCCTACTCCCCCATATTCCACCCTACGACATGGCTCCTGACCCCCAACTCCTACCCAGCCCCTAAATCTCCCATGTGAGGTCTGATCTGTGACAGCTGCCAGTCCTCTGGGGCCACAGGTCTAAACGGTGGGTGAGACATTCTTAAAGATTGGTGTTAACCGAAATTCAAATTAACTAGTTAATTTTGGTGGGTTTGAGGTTTTTGTTTTGTTTTGTTTTTTTCAAGACAGCTCAGGCTGGCCTCCAACACATTGCAATATGACTGCCTCAGTCTGTCAAGCCCTGGGCTTATATTCAAAAGCTGCCACGCCTGGCTCAAAATTCTTCCCATGCAGAAAGACTGATCAGTAGGGGACTGAGGTAGCAAATGACTGAGGCGGGCTTGGTTCTGATACCCAAGTGGCCCCTCTGGGTGCCTCTGGGGTTTCACAGATAGCTTCCTGTGGCCTGGGAGAGGCCAAACATGGCTAGAAACCGGCCCCCTTACCTTCATGGGCTGCAGCTGTACCCGTGTAATTCGAGAAGGATCCACCACAGGCTTGGGTCGCCTCAAGGTGTCCAAGATATTCTGCCATTGTGGGGGGAGGCCCACGAACTTGCCTTCCTTGGGGTCAAAGGAGGTGTGGACTCGGTGCTGGAAGTTCTGTGGGGCGGATATCTCGGGGCGTTTCTTCTTTTTCTTTCGGAACATGGTGCCTGTAAGAGGAGGGTCAGTGGGGCTTGTCCCAGGGACCCTGCGGTGGCTCAGTGGGTGCTGGGTACGGGCTCAGGCCTGTGTTTCTCCCTCAGCGTCACTACTCTGTCCCTGGATATTCCCTCACTGTCTTCCGGACTTCCTCAGGGAAGTGGCTGGCTCCCAGCAGAACAGTTTTAGAAACGTCAAAAGTGCCATACATAAATAAAAAAATAAATAAGCCAATACAGACTACAAGCAAGGAAAAGAAGTGTCCACCTTGTTTGTGCCGAGTCGCCTGCCAAGAAGTGCTTTTTTTTTTTTTTTTTAATAAAACCCAAAGCCCATTACAAACATCAATTCATGTCACAGAATTACAAAAGGGGGCAGGAGGGTAGAAGGCTGGCAGACTCACTCTGCGAAGCAGGTATGACCTTGACTCTCAGCCAAAGGAGAACACAAGAAAAGGAAAACCAGAACCAGTCTCTCTTAAGAACATAAATATGAGCTGGGCAAGGTGTTCCACGGCTGTAATCCCAGCACTTGGGAAGCTGTGGCAGGGGGATTGCTGTGAGTTGAGGCCAGCTTGGACTGTCTAACTAGACCTTGGCTAAACTGCCCCCCCCCACCGCTCCGTAAATGTGAAAAACTAGCAAACAGAATAAAAGGATGAGCTGAAAATTTTGTCACATTCAACACGTGTGTTGCTAACTGACCAACAGGAAACCTATTAAAGCAACACATGACACGAACAGGAACCAACCAGCCAATCTGCAGGACCGTAGCCCAGCCTGGTAGTGTTGATTGTACTATTCCCAAAGGGCCCTCCTCGTTGAACATGCATTTTGCCTTAATTCTGCAAAGGGCTGAGTCGAAAGGTCGGCCGTGTGTAGGGCCAGGATAGTTACCTCCCAGGTCAAGTTCTCTAGAAAAGGCAGACAGTCCCACTTACCCACTTCCTGTGGATTTTAATCCTATTCCAGGACACTGCACAAAGTATCTCTTGTGGTCTGTCCTGCACGCTACACCTTGCTGATCTTGTATGAGACTTTACTGAACTCTGTCAATGGGAATGACGTGGGCTTGGAAAAGATACTATGAGTAGACCTGAGAGGGGATAACTGGGAATCCGGAGGGTTGAGGGGTTTCCCAAGGTCTGTCCTGGTCACTCCTAGGGAGTCCCAGGCTGGAATCAGTATATTGATAACAACACTTGAGTTTTTGAATATGAAGTAGCTCAAAACATTTCAGAAATGAAATGAATCAATGTGTCTCTGTCTGTGAATAGGGTCTTGCTGTGTTTCCCAGAGGGGTATCCCTCTGACTCAGTCTCTGCAGTAGCTGGGACCACACTACACCGCCTCACACAGCTTATGCCATTTCACCATGTGAATGCTTGGATTATTCATCTAGTTGAAGAGCTGGCACGCAAGGCCATTGCAATCTCTGACTGCTCTCGCTCCCGGGACAGTATTTTCCCCATCACTTTGGCAGCTTCTGGAGAGCATGTGCAGGCAATAGGTGCCACTGAAAAAGGTGGCAGGCCCACTGCTTCCTCCCCGGGAGCGTGCCATGGGTAAGGCAGTGGCACCCATGGCATGGCCCTTAGAAGAGCAACAGTCTCTCGGACACGCCTTAAGGACAGAGTCAGCATCCGGGGACCCTTTGCGGCGGAAGACTTTACACTGGGATGGGTGATTGAGTCTCACTTGTAGATAGCCTCGTCCCTAAACGGGAGTGACTTGGAGCAAGTTAGCAACTTGAGCCTCTGTGGTTCCTCTCCCATCTGTGCAGCGGTGTTTGTGGAAGACAGCTCACAAGGTTAGGGAGCGCAGAGTAATAGATGCCCTGCAGATGCTGACCGGCTCTCTAGTTGTCTTCTCTCTCTCCTTGTCCCTAAGCTTGGGGTCTTCAGACACTGGCACTTGGGTAGATTTGGGTCGGAGAGTGATGTCAAATTCCTTTCCTCGCTCATCATTTCCACCTCAAGGGGCCGTGACTAAAACTCTAGGTTCCGGGACCCAGACACTGTACCTCACGCCCCCACCGTGCAGCCTCTTTGGACTGCTTCGGCCTCTGCCTCTTGCTTCAGTCAGCAGACCAATCCTCGCAGCCCCTCAGGCAGACCCTCTGTTCCTGGATTAGTTAACAGACCCTGCTGGCTAGTTTTATGTCAGTGTGTCACAAGGTGGAGTCATCTGAGAGGAGGGGACCTCAATTGAGAAAATGCCTCCATAAGCTCGGGCTGTAGGGCGTCGTGGGCCCAGCCCACTGTGGGTGATGCCATCCCTGGATTGGTGGTCCTGGGTTCTATGAGAAAGCAGACTGAGCAAGCCAGGAGGAGTACCCCCGCCCCGCCATGGCCTCTGCATCAGCTCCTGCCTCCAGGTCCCTGACGTTTGAGTTCCTGTCCTGACTCCCTTCAGTGACAGACTGTTACCTGGAAGTGTAAGCCAAATAAACCTTTCCTCCCCAGCTTGCTTTTGGTCATGGTGTTTTGTCACAGCAATAGAACCCCTAACTAAGACACAGACCCTCTTGCTGCCTCCATAGCTGTGAGATTTTCTAGAGGTACTCATATCATCCAGAGCCACAAAGGAACTGGCTGAGACCTTCCTTCAAGAGCCCTGATTTTGCAGATCAGCTCTTGGATCTTGCATGGGAATTAATGGGGAGGGAAGGCACCAGTATCAAGTAGTATCCATGATTCTGATACCTTCTGGAGTTCACCCTAACAGCTATCCCTTGACAAGCTCTCCAGAGGCAGCAGAGAAACCCGAGGAGAAAGACCAGCACCCAAGGGATTACGGAGGTTGGCAGCAGTCAGTGGAGCTTTGGGTAGGAGACAGAGATTTAGCAATCAGCTAATCATTTAAACATTGGTAAACCTGAGACCTAAAGGAAGGCCACTAGGACTCATCAGAAGTGTGGTCAGGCCAGCCGTGCTTGAGACAGTGTGTTTGTGACAGTAGAAAACCCAGAAGAGTCTGCAGCAACCAAATTTGTTTGGAAAGTCTTCAATTCAAGGCCAACATAAATAAAAGTTCGTTGAATTTCAATATAAAATGAAACAGAGCCAGGCATAGTAGCTCACACCTGTAATCCCAGACGAGATCGGAGGATCAGGAACTCAAGGCCAGAGTGCACTGTACAGTGAGTTTGAGACTAGCCAGGGCTAGATAGCCTGTCTTGAGGAGGAGGTAGTGGTTCTGGAGAGATGACTCAGTGGGTAAGAGTGATTACTGGGCCAGGCAGTGGTGGCTCACACCTTTAATTCCAGCACTGGGGAGGCAGAGGCAGGTGGCTCTCCGTGAGTTCAAGGCCAACCTGGCTTATAGAGTGAACTCCAAGACAGCTGCGGCTACACAAAGAAACTGTCTTGAAAAACAAAACAAAAATTGCTGCTCTTGCAGAGAACCTGGACCTGGGTTTGGTTCCCAGCACCCACATGGCAGCTCACAACCACCCGGTACTCCAGTTTCGGGGGATCTTGACACCCCCCCCCTTTGACCTCTGCAGCCTCCTGCATGCATGAGGTACACTACATATATGCAGCACACACATACCCATGCAAAATAGAATAAAGATAGAATTTTAAGAGAGAAAGGAAATGACCTTATTTATCATCTTACATTAAAAACAGCAAACACCCGGGAATAAACCTCTTTGCCTTGGAAGCCGTAGAACATTATTAGAGATATTAAAGAATGTTCATATGTTGAAGATTTCACACTGTGAAGATGTCAGTTACTCCCAAATCAACCTACAGTCTTATTTCAGGCTCAGCATATTTCTTGTGGCAGAAACTGACACACTGGTTCTAAAATGTGCAGGAAACAGAACCAGGAATAGCCTCGGCAGTCGGAGGGAACAGAGTCGGAGGACTATACTAAATATACATTGGGATTTATCATAAAGCTGCCGAAATTAATATGCTGGAGAAACAGCACAAGGATTGACAAATAGAGCAACAGGACAGAAGCAGGAATCCAGAAATAGACCCACTCGGATGAGGTCGCTTGATTTATGGCAAAGGTGACATTGCAATGTGGTGGGAATGGATGATCTTTTCAATAAATATAGCTAAAGCAATTAAATATCCATGTGGGGGAAAAAATGAACCTGAAGAAATGAGCTCAGAGCACACCCTCACGTTAATTAGATACAGATCATAACCTCCATGGGAAAGGTAACGTCATAACGCTGGTGGCAGGTGCAGGGGTGGAGGGCACAGTCTGGCTGTCCCCTCCCCGGTCTCATGTCATGACTATATCGGGTCCAGGTCCGATGGCTTCTGGAACTGCTGACATGCTGGGGTCCAAACCTGTCTGCATTCGTGGATCCCAGAGGAAAATTAAACCATCAAGGTTTTCTTTGTTGAAACAGGAAAAATAAAGGATCAAATTAAAATTTCACCTCTGCCATGTGTAGGAAAAAAATACACCAAAGTAACTGCTGAGTTTGCCTGGGGGACTCTGGGGGCTTTCCATTCTTCTAAGGAAAACAGCCTTGTTTTTAGACAGAGGTTTTATGACGTAGCCCAGGCTGGCCTCCTGTGACTCCTCCTGCTTCAGACTTCCATGTGCTGGAATTATAGGTGGGGATCAAAATATTTTTACCTATTTTCTAACGTTTTATTTTATTTTTACGTGTGTGCATGCGCGTGTGCCTGTGTGTCGGTCTGTGCATGCGAATGCAGGCACCCTCAGAGATCAGGAGAAGGATTTGGATCTCCTGGAAGTGGAGTTTTGTGTAGTTGTGTGCCCTCCGACCTGGGTGGCAGGAACCAAACTGCAAGAGCAATATGTACTCTTAACCACTGAGCCATCTCTCCAGGCCCTGAAATATTTTTAAATGTAAGAGTGGTCCATGCTGGCCAGTGTCGCCCAGTCTCCATGAGTGAAACACTTGGGACACCAACGTGCCCTGCTAAGAATGGCCGTCGAGACTTGCCATTTCTAGGGCTTTCTTCCCACATATTTCGGAGAGCCTTGAGAGGACAGTTGCTGCGTTTACCACCAGGCTGTGGTGATCAATAAAATCGGGCCACAAGAATCTTACCTGACACCCCGCCTCTGCGTCCACCTCTGTTCGTAAGAGGAGCTAGTGCAAAGACAGAAAGACCTGAGGAAGAGCCTGTGGCCTCAGACCGGATGTAGAAACAGGCAGACATGAGATGGCCTCTCCAATTCTTTAACCCAGGCCAGGAAGCTGGCTGAGGACCAGACCAGGCCAGGAATGCACTATGGAGTTTAAGGAGTGCTTTTAGTATTACCTTCCTGCTCTCTGACCCATGACTGATCAGAGCGAGGTGCCCAGTGCTGGGAAGGATAACTCCAGCCAAAACCAGTTAGAGAAGGAAGCTCCCCTGGCAGGGAGCCTGGCAGACAGGAATGCAGCAGTCCCTGGCAGAGGCTTTACAGATGAAGTGTTGCCCTGCCCAGTAAACGCGGGAGGAGAGCTGGTATGACATTTCGGGAGTCGCAGGCCTGGGGTCACTGAAAGAGGGACTGAGTGTCCAAGGGGTTTGGAGTCTCAGAATCCAAAAAGACAGGAGCTGTTTTTGAGGACCTGTTAGGCCCCTTCTGAGAGCTAGCAGCTCTGTGAGGAAGGAATGCTTATTCACCATCTAGATGAGGCTCCAAGGCGGGCAGAGTCTGTCCCAGATCACAGAAACAGGAAATGACTGTATGTATATGGGGTGGGGGTGGGGACTAAACCCAGATCAGATTCCATGTACCTTGCTCTATCCTTGTGCCCCCAATCACTGTGGGCAGTGCTGTCCCTCTGTCCCCTCTGCACTGTGGGCATGCTCTGCTAATGCTCTCCTTCTTGGAGGTCTTCACCAGCAGGAAACCGGGCCCAGCTAACAGCCTAATGAGAATTCACGGAAGTCTAAGGTGAGAGGGACGGGCCTTCTCTTCCCTCCACCTGACCTGGTGCTTGTCTGAGTCAGCCACGGTAAGCAGGGCTCTTCTAACATGTAGGCTGACCCTTACCTTATACGGAACCAGTATGTCTTGTACTCTGTAAGGGGAGGGCAAAATGTTTTAAAAAGGTTGCATTGGGGGCTTTGATGAGCAGGGTCTGGCGTGTATGACAAACAAAGGCCCTGGGGAAGGGGGAAGCAACGGGAGATTCGGCTCACAAGTCAGTGGACAGGGTTCCATGTTGGATGTCACCATTCCACAGGGACAAGGGAAAACAGGTCAGGTGTCCACTTAGAGGGTGGGAAGGTCACCCTCTCCTGCTGCTCCTGGAGAAGGGAAGATAGCCAGCCTGCATGCTGGCTCCTCACAGACCCAGGACAAAACAATAGAGGCCAGAGACGGACACAGACCTTACAGCAGAGCCCTTGGGGTGTATATCTGTCTCCTGTGCTCTGCCATTTGAGAATCCCCTTCGGGGCCTATCTTGAATGTTCGTTCTTCTCCGGTCAGCCCTGCTTTTCACCGGGAGCGAGTGTCCAATATGGTCACCCACCTTACCCTGCCGCACCCAGCTTTGGATGATTTGTGGCTGCCACACCTTGAATGCCTTTCAAGGAAAACATGCTTAGCTCGCTAAAGGGATTCCGAGAATGGACCACAGGCTGAGAAAAAGCGTATGGCGAGGCACCAGTGTGCAACTCCTGGGGAGGAGACTGGATTCAGTTCTGCTAGGTTACTTATACAAGCAAACTCTGGGATGCGGGGATGAGGCTGGTGGGATCCCCGCCATTTCTGGGACTCTGGTTCACAGAACAGTGGAGGACCCCCCAGCTCAGGTGTCCTCCCAGCTTCCTCACAAGAAGGCTCCGGGTGAGCTTATCAGCTCACGTCTAGGGCCCTGCAGCAGGGACCTTGGGGCCTGAGGCCTTGACCTAATATTTAGGTCTCAGCCCTTGTGTCTGTTGCTGACAAGAGAAGGAATTCATTCCCCTCAGCCTGTCAGGAAGAGTAACCGTCCTTCCTCAGGGAGCTTTAGGGTGATTTAGTAAGAATCCCTCAGGGAGAGTCTCGTTGACGTACTGGCTCCAGGCTGAGCATGTCACATACATGACACTTACGCAGAGGTCTGTGAGAAGTGTTTACTCTTACTCTGACATGGGGGCAAGGAATTATTTGGCCACAAAGACCAGATTACTTGCCTAAGTATAGCAGCTTGGAGTCTGTTCTAGACCCTGAGGTGAACGTGGCTTTACTCAGTCATCAGGACCCCGTCCCACCCAAGTGGTGTTTCCCAAGATTTCCTGAGGAAGGACCTACTTTAAATGGTACTACAAGACAGAGGCGACTTTCCTGGACACTACAGAGCTTAGAAATGTTTCTCTAGTTGCCACTATTGGACCTGGTGTGGCCTGTAGAGGACCCTGCCTCCCCGCAGAGCTGGGCCCCAACACCGACATCGACAGTAGACCTATGTAATGGCTTCCTTGTAATTCACAGTGGGCCCGTCACCCCTCTCCTCTAGGAGGAATTGCGGGACTCATCAGCCTCCCACCCACGATTAGAAATTTCTGTGAACAGAAGATGTCTCGTTGGCCAGGAAGATTTTCTCAGCCTTGACTCTCTGGAGTTTGCTAAATGTCAAATGATATCATTTATTATGCCCCAGCCACTCCCGACTCTGCACACCCTGGGAAACAAGACTTCACTTTTGGGAATGCTAAACTTGTTCCTTCCAAGGAGATGCTGGTATGAGTGAGTTAGCCTGCCCCAGAGGAAGAGCTGTCTGCTCCATGGAACCTCTGACCTGCCCCTCTACCTCTGTCCAGATTTCCATCCCCGTGACATCCCCAAGAGGAGTCTGGTTGTACTCTGTTTAAACACGGTCGGCAACAGGGAGCTGCTGTCCCTTCCCAAGGCCTGTCTGGTCCCCTCACTGTTCAGTCCCCACAAGGGTCCAGGCCCCCATGTGTTTCTCTTCAGATGCCCCAAGAGACACATGAGGTCACCCTCCCACCCCCACCCCAGCACCCTATTCCGACTTTCCATACCACACAGGAGGAAGTTTCACCTGCTTTATGCTATTGCTACCTGCAGGGAGAGACCTTAGGCTGAAGCCAGAGCCCTTGACTCCGTGGCCTTCTGGCTCTGTGGAGCTGCCTAGGGCCACAGTGTTGAGGTGTCAAAGGCCTCAGAGAACGAAGCAGGACAGAGAGGTTCTGTTACCCCATTTGTGTGACCCAGGGAGATGAAGGGGGTCCAAACCCTGATACCATTCCCACACCACAGGCCCCAGAGAATGCCAGGGGAGAGATACTGGGGTGTTGATTCAAAGAATACGACGATGAAGCTCATTCAGTAGCTTATGTCAACACTCCTTCTGAGGGAGAGGCCGAGGAGCAGGCTAGCCAGCTGAGGATAGTCAATATTGACCTGGGTCTTGTCTGGGCCCAGTTCCAGCCCATTCTAACAGTGCTGTGGTCCAACAGCTGCTCACAGCAGCCCAGCCCTCTGACCTCTGTGGCTGTACCTAGAAACCCAGTCCTTTCCCATGCTGCTTCTGGAGAACAGCAATGGGCTGGCCTGGGCACGGGGCACTAAGGTGGCTGAAGAGCGACATTCCCTAAGAGCGCTACAGGCCAGGGCCCTTCTTGCTGTCCGATTTAAACTGACTTCGTGTAGAAGCCCTGATCCTCAGAACCTTTCCAGAAGAACCTCAGCAGTTCTCGGCCACGAGACGACTTTACATATCTGTAGTCCTTAACTTTCCAGATCTGTTTTCACCTCCTTGCTTTTTGCTCAAAACCACCGTGAGATAGGCAGAGCCAGCTTTGCTGGACCTTTCTATTTATTTATTTATTTATTTATTTATTTATTTTTCTTTTCCTGTCCTGTTTTCACTATGTAGACCAGGCTGGCCTTAAACTCACAGAGATCCTCCTGCTGCCCCCCCCAATCGTTGAGATTAAAGTCATATGCCACCATGCCCCACTATTGGTCCTATGGCGAGCATCAGGGAAAAGGAGGAAAGAGAGGGCACATGTGTAACACCTGCCATGTGCCAGGCGCTGTCCTAGGTGCTTTTGATTCTTGAATCTAATGGTTGGTACAGTTATGCTAGGCTCCGTTTTACAGGTAGAGAAATTGAGGCTTGGAGAAAATCTCTCCTCAATTGGACATGGTAAGGTGGGATACAAAGTCTCTCCAACTCCAAGCTCCCCTACCATGAGGAGCGCCCAGGGACAGCAAACAGCCTGTCCTATCCCACAGCTACCTTGATGGTCTCAGGAGCCACAAGTCAAAGTCTCCTAGTGTCCCAGAAGTACCCAAGGAAACAATATCTCAGGTCAGGCCATGAACACGCGAGAATGAATGTAGCGTGTACAGATGTTCCTCCTGTTCATCTGTCAAGTTGGGTTTCCTTCCAGAAATGGTCCCTTCCCTCATGCTAGAGGTGGCAGGTTAGAGTCTCCTGTAACTTACCTGCCTTAGACCCTCTGCCTTGGTTTTTATGTCTGTCTACCCTCAGAAAAAAAAAAAAACAATAATAATCTTGCCAAGTGGACCACTCTGTTCTCAAAAGTCCCCAGCTCAAAGTAGCTTAAATTCTTGTAGGCAGAGGCTGGTGAGGTGGCCTCCTAAGCTGTTGGCCGTAAACCATTCCAGTTTCACATCTCAGCTATCCTAGGAGGGCGGCATTATCACCCCCATTTTACACTGAACCCCACTTCACAGACATTTACAGTCAATAGTCAAGTGGAGGTCTGAACCCACCTCCATTTGGGTCTCAACCGATGTGTTCTCAGCCCTCTGTCCTATACACAGCAGTGTACAATAAGCAGAAATGGACTGGGGAGCCCTCCCCAGCTTCGCATAGAAAAACAAGCCAGAAGAACCTAAAAAAAACACTAGAATACGGCAAAATACAGAGGATATAGCGTACATCCCAGGAACTCTGTGCCTTAGCCCCTGGTGATCCCAGCAGCGGACCCCAAACCGAATGCTACTCCCTGAGTGTGGGAAGAGCTGGAATATGTTAGCAGGGTTTCCTGCTCTGGGCAGCACAAACTTAGGTTTGCTGTCCTCCTTGTCTGGGGCCTCTTCCTAAGCATGCATTCTGTGAACCTGGGCTATGGGACACTGCCTTGTTCAGCCGGTTATCAAACCTAATGGCATCAGAGGCTGGGCCGGACTGGGCGGTCCATTTGAAGCCGCGGTGGCCTACCATGTGTTGGAAAAGCTTGCAAATGACTTATCAGGCACGCTCTATGGATTGAGAAGTGGCACCTCCCTGGGTTGCTGCCACTGTCTAACAGTACATGGAGGGGGGCTCCTTGCCCTCCCGCTGTCCTTCCCAACCTACCTCCCAGGAAGGTCTGGAGCAGGAGGCCCCTCACTCACCTCCTGTGGCCTTCTCTCCTCTCCTTTCACTATTCTTCAGTCAGTTCGCTAGAGCACGAAGGGGAGGAAAGATCCCAGGACCTTCCTCTGCCGGCCTAAGGGAGAAGCACACGGTGATCAATGTAATTAAGTGTCCCTGCAGATTCTGCGACTGGCTGGAGTCCAGGACGTTGAGAACCGCACCCCTCCCCGAACGAACTCGGGTGCCTGCTGAACTGCAGACCGTGGGGCTGGCGAGGGTGGGGGAGGGGAGGCGCAGCGCCGCTTCGGAGGTCGCCAGTGTCCCCGCACGCTCCGTCCCGCGCGGCGCTCACGCGGAGGTGGGTCGCCGAGTCCGCGAGCCGGCACCCAAGGGCCCCTAGGTCCCGCGGCGGGTCAACCCCAAACTTTGGGGACTGAGAACCCGGGGCACGGGCAGTCCAGCCAGTCCCCTGGGGAGTCCTGATCCCCGCTCCGGTCCCGGGACCCCTGGCCCCTCGCGGCGCCCGGGGCACCCACCTGCCAAGCGGGAAGCCGCGGAGAGCCCCGAGAGGCCGCGGGAGCCGGGCCCGCCCTCCGCGGGCGGGACCTCGGCGCGGGCACGGCAAGGAGGGGCCGCGGCACGTCGGTGCGGAGCCCGCTTACCTGGCGCGGAGTCGGACTGCAGGGTGTGGCTTCAGGTGGGACGCCCAGAGCGCGGGAGCTCCGGAGAGATCGCTGGGGGCGCAAGAACTCGGGGATCGGCCTAAGGACCGACAGTGTGCCCACCGCCTCCCTCCAGCCCCGCCGATCACGGCCTGCCTGCCGCGACCTCCCCGCGGCACCAAAGCCAGGGTCTGAATTATCTACCGAGCGGCTGTTGAGCAATCAACTCGCGCCTTTGCTCGCAGACGCCTACTTTGCGACCCTGAGCCCACTCTGCAAAACCTGTGTCCATTCCCACATCGCTCAGGGCCCGATCCGGAGTCCTGAAACCGGGCACCTTGACTTGCTTGCCAAGTCTGGACAAGTTTCCCAGCCCTGCGACTTCCCGGGTCCTTGTGCAGGCAAGAGAGCAGGATATAAAGGAATTCCGATATTTCCTTGTCACCCTGACTTACTCCTGAGAACTTTCTGTGGTTTTAAGATCACAGAAGAGGGATTTTGGGGGGAGGGGTAGAGATCGCTTCCAGCAGCGTGGCACCCAGAAACTGGACGATGAAGTCCCAGCGGGACAGAGCCCTCTACCTGGTTTGAGAGAGGGGCAGTGGCCACCTGTCTGTCTCCTCCCCAAACAAGGAAAAGAAAGACCTTTGCTGTCTTTCACTTGGACCCTTGGAGAGAACTTTACTCGCTGAGGGCTGAGGGGATTCTAGCTTAGAAATGCTGACATCTGGAACCCAAATGGCTGCTTCGTATAAGGGCTAGGTGTCAGTCACAGACAGGGGACACAAGACACGGAGCAGTACAGGACTGTTTCTTTTGCCACCATTGCTGGGTATCTCAAATTTGGTTTTTCATTGACATCATGTTCGCCTCACATTTTTGTTCACTGATTCTTTAGCCATGTGGGTGCTGTTTCTGGATAAGTGGCCTGCAGTGTGGGCTCAGTTGCTTCCCTGGAGTTTATTTTAGGGCTTCTTTAGCCCTATTGGTGCTGTTTCTGCATAAGTCACCGCACTGTGGGCTTGGTTGCTCCCGTGGAGTTTACTCTAGGGCTCCCACCAACCTGAATAAAGATGATCTATGGGAACTCGACAGCCCCCACAAAACTCTAACCCTTTCGTGGTTGCACCTCAGATCTCCATACCCTCATTGTACTGGAGAAGGCAATGGTGCCAGCCTTGTGTGCTGTGGAAGGGGGGCGCGGAAGCTTCGGCAGCTGGTCACAGGTTGTCCCAGACCCACACATATGTACCTTCCATGTCTGTTCGCTCCTTGCTCTGTCTTCCCTTTCTCCTCTCTGAGTCTTTCCTAAGTGATTCTCTTTTCTCTGGACATTATGAGCAAAGCCCTTCCCTCTTGGCCAGCCAGGAAGCTGCCTGAGTCCCTTGAAGTGACACAAATAAGGCTTCCCCATAGATCAGTCACCCCAGGGCCTAGGTACTTGCCTGACATTGGCTATAAGAAGGAGGTTGTGCTGTGTAGAGAGAGGGGGAGATTGGTTGCTGTGGATTTGAAATGAACTGCAAACCAAAGTTGGAAGGAAATGTAGCATTGAATCTAGAATCGACACCCTAAATTACTTTTTACTGATCCACAAGTGAACATGTGAATTACCGTCTTTTAGTAAAATATGTTTTTATGCCCAAACCATAGCTCTAAGCATTAATTTGAATTGTTAAACTACAATAAAATATAAACATTAGCATATTACCAGGAATCAACTAGTACCTAATTTGGTTTGATATTTGGAGTAGATATTAACCAAGTTTCATCCTTTTCTTACAGGGAATAGATTTAGAAAACACTGGGTCTCTCCCCCACCCATGGAAGCTGAACTGGGGCCTGAGGCCTCAAGAAAGGCAGGGCCTCCCAAACAAGATGGACCAAGCAGGTAATGACTCCTCCATCGATGAAGCAAACCAAACCAGATGATCAGGAAGCTT